GCCTACAGCAGCAACAAGTGCTACCTGATTTAACAAGGTAGGATAACAATATGGAAACCATGACCACATGATGGTTTCACCCTGACAACTTCCCATTTACAGGCAGCTTCCTCAAACAAGCAGGTTTCTAAGACACCAACCACTCCAAGACAACACAAACTTGGTTAATGAAAATTTATTCTTTCAGTAGGTCATAGCCAGCTCTTACGCAACCAGGGCAGAAGCTGTTGATGATTCGCTAAAAAGAGAGAAGAAAGAGCGAAATATTAATTGCATGGATTTACAAAAAAAAAGAGGCACTTTTTCAAACTAATTGTCAAAAACAGTGCTTCAGTTCAAAGCTTACCTGCAAGTCCTCAGCCAACTCATCACCTGTTTACATTTTTATGCCATAAACATTTTGCTCTTCTTTTTGAAATACAAATACCAGAATAACAGCACAAAAGCCATAAAAAAACTGGCTAGCTGCACTTGAGTCTTCTCAGAAAAAAAGAAGCTAACCCTAACATCCATGGGAATTCTCTTACACTGGCTTAATTTTCCTAGAGGAAAACTTACAAGTTACATTCAGTTTTGCCACATCTACTAAGCCGTATCTCAATAAATTCTGAAAGTAACACAAACTATGTTAAGTATCCGAGATAAAGACTGCAGTCTGTACAAAGCGCTATAAAAACTATGTAGTAGTGACTTGTTGAGATAATTATTTATTTCCTTAGAGTTGTGATGGTCATTTTACCCAGTAATAAGTTTAATAAATTTATCAGTTAATAATTATGAAAAGGATGCTGGGGAGGGACTCTTCATTAGGGACTGTAGTGATAGGACAAGGGGTAACGGGTTAAAACTTAAACAGAGGAAGTTTAGATTGGATATTAAGTAGGAAGGTTTTTACTGTAAGGGTGGTGAGGCACTGGAATGGGTTGCCCAAGGAAGTTGTGAATGCTCCATCCCTGGTGGTGTTCAGGGTCAGGTTGGACAGAGCCTTGGGTGACATGGTTTAGTGTGAGCTGTGTCCCTGCCCATGGCAGGGAGGGTGAAACTTGATGGTCCTTTCTAACCCTAACTATTCTATGATTCTGAAATACCTATTCTTTGTTTCCTGGTTTACCTGTATGCTTGATCATAATGTGCTTTTCACCCTTTGAGCAACAGCCCCAGCTTATTACTTACAAAACCCACAGGATTTCAGTGAAATAGTAACTTAAGAGAAGACTTACTACTTCCAATTGGGTGGCAGCACTCTCTTAGTTTTGTAGTAGCGAGCCAGCCTATGGATTCTGCTTTCAATCAGAATGAGGCGGAACTTGGCATCTTTATCCTTGAAAAGAAAGTTACATTACAACCAAGCACTACTTTGACTTCTCAATGATGTACAACTCAGATGAGCTTTACTAAAGTAAAAAGATCCACAGCTACTGCTATAAGCTCCACATTCCTATTTCCAAAGTCTGATGAATCCAGGATAACCAATTATTTTAAGATCCTTTACACAGACTTAGACCATTCTCCTTTGCTGAAATGCCTCCCCAAAGTTTACTCAAAGGGAGTGGCTAAGAGGAGGTACACTAAGAGTCTTTGCTTTGTCGAGATGTAAATAAACTACTGTATTATTTGAAAACAAATATAGAGAATAACCAAGTTAAAGTAGCACTCACCTTTCTGTTTCTCTCAAGATGTTTGCGAACAGCAACAGCTTTCTTGATCAAGTGGTAAAGATCCTCTGGAAGGTCTGGAGCCAGTCCCTTCGATTTAAGGATTCTCAAAATTTTGTTGCCAGTAACAAAGCGAACCTGGGCAACACCATGGGAATCCCTCAAGATCACACCTGAAACGAACATTTACATCTCACACCGGAACAAAAACCTTACACAAACAAATCTTGTGAAACCAACTTTACAGTTACAAGATATCCAAAGGTCTTGTCTAAAAACCTTTCTTGTGCAAACTGCACAAATTGTAGAAAATGAGCAAACAAAATAAACTTACAGAAGCTGAAACACGATCAGATAGCACTTAACAGGCAATTAACCCACCCATCACATTTAGGCTGGCAACATATTTAGTGCTACAATACTGAACACATTAAACACGACTCATTAAAGCTAGGTATTCAATCACTGTTTCCCTATGGTTAACAAAAGATGTCAGAGACATATTCGTTGTACAAAAACGTACTCTAGCACAGGGATCATTAGTACTCTCAGGATTACAATCGAAAAAAAAATAATAATTCACACAGCACATAATTATACTGCATAGCTCATGATCATATAAAGTTGCATTGTACATGCACTTAAGCAGAGCTCTAGCAGGAACTTGTCTATAATGTAGCTACAGCGTCTGGCTCAGTAAACTCCTGAATGTGGGGCTGCCAATATTTGAGATGAGATGTTAAGTTTCTCCAAGGAACTGGGCAGACTGACTTCCCCTATAACATGTGAGTGATTCATAAGCCTTACCAATTTGTGAGGGAGTCAAGCCTTTTTTGGCCAGCTTGTAGATCTGTTCCTTTACATCATCAGAAGTAAGTTTCAGCCACTGAAGAAAATTAGGGGAAAAAAAATAAATTAATGAACACTACTTAATACAGAGACATGGGCTAGCTAGATAAAAGCTTTTGATAAACGGCAGAAATAGATGCTTTGTAATGCTTGAAAAAAAACCACCAAGAACTGAAATTATACTTCTAACAATACAGAAACCTTTTATTATAAACCTAAAGTGCTAGCAAAATATGGCGGGGGAAGGCAGAGTTGAAGGAAGAAAGTCTGTGTTTAAAAGACCCCATAGGGCCTCCAACCAGCTGTGTTGCCATCAGTTTATTTAAACTGCCACATGAGATGAATAAACAGAAATTAACAAAAACAAAAATATCACCACTATTTACAATGAACGCTTTTACTGGGCTTCTGACAGAAACATAGAGAACCATTTTGCATTTGTTAGTACAGCACCTACAGAATCACAGAACAGGGTTGGAAAGGACCTTAAGATCATCAAGTTCCAACCCCCTGCCATGGGCAGGGACACCTCGCTCTAAACCATATTACCCAAGGGTCTGTCCAACCTGGCCCTGAACACCACCAGGGGTGGAGCATTCACAACTTTCTTGGGCAACCTATTCCAGTGCCTCACCACCCTTACAGTAAAGAACTTCTTCCTTATATCCAATCTAAACTTCTCCTGTTTAAGTTTGAACCCGTTACCCCTTGTCCTATCACTACAGTCCCCAATGAAGTGTCTCTCCCCAGCATCCTTACAGGCCCCCTTCAGATACTGGAAGGCTGCTATGAGGTCTCCATGCAGCCTTCTCTTCCCCAGGCTGAACAGCCCCAAAGAAACAGTGGAAGTCAGATTAATGGGAAGACAACACCAACAAATTAATCCTTGCTTTTTCAGTGACCTACAAAGAGCTCTTTTTTTTCCCTTTTTAATACAGTCAAAGCATGAAATAAAAAAGCACAGCAAAAAAATCTATTTGGAAATGCTCTACAGATTACAATTCAAAAAGGAATGCAAATAAAACTAAGCAAACCCCCCCCCCCCCCAGCACTAAAGCATCCTAACCATTACTGAACTTTTTAACCATCACGGGTACTTTTAGCAGCTTAAAGTTATCATACTTTAATCTCTTTATTTTCTTACTTTGTGCTTTAATTTCATGATTTTCAGTGCATGCTTTTTTAATATACACCACAAATCGATCTTTCTGCCAAAAAACAGATGCTCCCAGTCTTGCCAAACAAGGTAAGATTACTAAGCAGCTGCTTATTCGGCTGACAGGTAAACATTTGAAGGGGAAGTACCCTGGATGCACTAAGGGCAAGCTGAAACTAAGCTCATGCTCTGCCCAACAAATTATTGTCAGAAATAGCTTAGAAAAAAAGTCACTTTATTCCACACTGGCAAATGCCAAACTCACGTGTGAAGAGAATAGTTTAATCTCTATGAACTATCCACATACAGACTAAAAAGAACTGAAGCAAAAGAGGTTTTTTTTCCTCCAACAAATCACCTGTCCAGAGAACGACACGTTTTTTCTCAATATCCTAAAGGCCATAGGCTAATGGAGCATTTTTTCAGGCCATAATTTAAAGATGGTGACACCAAATATTACAGCGGTCTTTTATTTTAGTCCTGTTTTCTGGGCACCGCGGGGCAGCTCTACGGGGACCGGACCGTGCACCGAACGACACAGGGGAGCCGGCCGGGCACGCCGAAGTGCACACGGGCCGGGTAGTTACTTACCGTCGGCACACTCCGCCTGTAGGGCAAGGCTGACTGGGACAAGCCCTTTCTGTGGGGAAGAAACAGATCACAGTCTAAGCAGAGCCGGCCAAGCTACACTGCCGTCCGACCCCACCGCAGGGCAGCATAGTGCAAACATTTCCTGCAAGGCCATACCCAGCCTGCACAGCCGAGGCCTGCAGCCTCCCTCCTCGCCTACAGACGGTGCCACTCACAGTAAGAGCCACGCCGGGGCAGTATCAGAAATTAAGAGCCCAGGCACCATACGCATGACCCTGCCTGGGGCCTGCCAAGGCAAGCCGCACCTCAGCACTAGCCTGATCCTTTCCCTTGCCTGCCACCATATTTGGCCAGCCGCAGGCCTCCCCACCCACCCCCACTAACGCCGCACTGCTCTCACAGCAGCCTGTTTCCACATATACACACTCCCAAGACCTCCTTTAGCACTCGCAACAGCCCCAACGTGCCCCATAGCACAGCCCGAACGCCTGCAGCAGCAGCTTACCCGGGAGCGTGCATACGACCCATGATGGCGGCGGCAAAAAGAGGGAGGAAAGCGCGGCTGCCGCACCTTCTGACCAACTTCCGCGGGAACGGGCGTGTCTGAGCCTGGCCCCGCCCTGACCGACAACCAATCAGAGGTGCTGGGACTGCTCTGCGCACGACACCACCCGAAGTCCCGGCTCACACCGCGCGTGGGTGCCGGGGTGGACGCGGGTGTTCTAGCGGGCAATGAAGAGCAGCAGAACTGTTTTTAACTCAGAATAGCGTTTAATGTACTTACAGGACAGATACGGAGTCACATTTAACCCGCTCAGTACGGGCACGACGGAGGGCAATATTGTACATCTTTATTAACGAGCTCGTTTAATTAAAGTATTTGGTTCTTACAGATACATAGACAAAGGGAGACAAAGGATTTGGTGGCACTCGCTTCCCTTAGCTGTAGCACTACCTCAGTCACAGTGTCCGAGTAACGAGCACAAGGGAGAGCAAGGCAGCGGCGAGCCCTGACAGAGCCCTCGCGTTAAGGCAGGCGACGGGGATTTCTACACAGCCCGAGTTGTAAAAATAAAGAACTTTTATCAAAGATCGCACATGCTTCCAGAGACAGGTAGCTGTAGGTCATAAAAGGCAGTAATAAAGTTTCAGTGCAAAGTTCTAGGTCAATAGAGAAAAGGAAGAGGTCTTAGCACAAGCTGTTGCTCTGAAATACCAAAACAATCGTACTGACAATTATACTTCTGGCTGGAGGTCATACGTGGCGTAAGAGATCTTTTTCATTAAACAAGATAAGAAAAAGCTTTAAAACTACGTTTTCAAGCTACTTACCATAAATTGAACCCCAACTGAATATTTTCCTCTTTCAATTTATTCTTTTATGTAGCATGTTAAAGTCTTATTGCAACAATCACTTTTTTAATTGAGAATAGTGCAAAGAGGTGCAAGCTTGGTGCTGTTCCTCCACATGTGAGGAGAGGCCAAGACAAAATAAAATCCATGACCATAAAAATCTTCAGCCGGTGACTATTTTGAAAAGAGAGGGAAAGGCACAAGATGAGTTAAGCTATGAAGAAGATTAAATCAGAAGTCAGGACATGGGCTAATAATAATACAGTACTATATATTTTTTTCAGTCCAGACAACTGTTAAAACTGCAAATCATTTCTTAAATGATTTTAGTTTATCTGTATTTTGTGCTGTAAGACACTGTGCTTTAATAGCAAACTGCAAAAAAGGCAGTACATATTGCTTTCATTTTATTTCACAATGGAACGTTTCACAAAAACAGTAGTCTACTTTCCTGTGTTTAAGTGACTTGTGATTCTAATGATGGAATGGAGTAAGTCTCAAAAGCATCAAGTGAGCAGGAAATATATCTAAGTTAGTTATATAGGTTATTATTTACAGGCTATATACTAAATGAAAAATATGCAGAAGACGCCTAGAAAACTGGGTTTTGTTAGAGTCCATTAGTATCAACCCAGTTTCTAACATTCAAGATATTCTTAGCATTTTCATTGTAATAATTCCTACAAAATTGGACCATGAATATTTTAGGCACCAGGAGATTCAAGTTTACTTCTCTCTTCTGTACTGAAGAGAGACTGGTCAGTAGCAGGGAATGGAAAACCAGATTACGAAACAGATTTTTAGTGTTGGGAATACAGAAGGCTTTCCCTATATTATCTCTCTGTTCATAGTTGCATATTTTACTTCAAAAATCCCCTTAGTCATAGTCAGTGGTGATAGTCTTGTCTTGCTTCAAGATTTAGTACTAAAGTGTGTATCATTATAGCTTGGTTTAGACAGAATATGATCCTAAATATTGAGTAAGGTGAATAAAAAGGCTACACCTGTAAGTGCAGAAACACCTAATAAAGTAACCAGTGGTATCATTAACAAGATACATTAAGTGACATTTGTACTCCACTCTCACAATATATTTCAAACCTAACCCCCTGTGGTATCAAGTATTTTTAGAGGAATTGGTTCTTACTGGGAGAAGTAACAGTATTGCTGTGAAATGTTAAAAAGTAACCAAGTTCCACTTCATTAATGCAACTCATTTCTGGCCTGCAATTCATCCAGTAGTTGTGCTTTTTTTTACTAGAGGCCATCTTTACCTAGAAGTACAACTGCAAAATACACTTTGGATTTAGTGTTTGAATCTGTTCCACATTTAATCACTGCACTAATTAAATGTTCTAGAATTTCAGACATTTCAGAACACTGAGCAGCTGGGCACATTTCCTACAGCACCACATTCAGCCAGTCTTCATCCAATTTTTGGAGATCATGGGTAGAAGAGAGGGTAGAATTCTGCACTAACTATGAATATCAGTATAAGTGATCTTATTTCTAAGTAGCACATCTTAGGAAGAGACTTCCAGCAGGACCTGCAAGATATCAAATATGAGAATGTTTCCCCTTTTGAAGGAGCTCAAAGTTTATGTGTACATACTTAAATACCAGAAATGAGGTAAAGACAAGCATTTGAATTATAAGGCACTGTTATTTACATCTTCCATTACTGGCACACACTCCAATAAATCTTAGAGAAGTATGAATCTGGGATTAAATGCAATACTAAGCAATTTTTCCAGCCCTTCAACCTTCATTTCTACAGGTGTGTGTGAAGCCAAAATTTTTACCCATTGCTGCTTCTGTGACATCTAGTTATTAGTGGGAATGTAATCCTAAAATAATGTTATTTCTTTAACGTTCTCCAACATCACACTATGGATGACAACACAGGTAACAAAAATGAAAACCAAAAATGCACTATACCCACAGGCCTAATGGTGAAATTACCATTCAACCAACAATCACGGTCAAAATGCTCATCTCACTTTCATGGGTGGTTTAAAAACCTCTTCCTCTACCTGCAGCTCTTAAACATTTACAACAATGCTTTGATAACACTGCAAAAGCATAAACCAGGTTTTCTAGATATCCTCCAAATTAGGCTACATGAACGTTGGTCCAACATAACTGTTGAAATGCAGAGTCTCTTGTTTTAAGATGTTATCTTCAAGTAGGAAGATGCATAAAGCACAAGTGAATACAGTTGTTCTGGTCTTACTCAGGTGCAGATATGCATTCACAGATAGGGTACAGCAGTTAGTCGATACCAGTTAACAGTCTCCTTGCTCAAGTTGAAGTCCTTTAATGAGAGTGTAATTCCACCCAAGAAAAAGTTCTCACGTAACGATTCTGCACTGAGCACACTTAGCTGCAGCTCTCTCTGTTTCAGAGTCTCCATGCTATATCCACTGTACACAAGCTAGAAGGTAAGAAGTCAAGAAATTTTTGGTTATCCAAATGAAGTCACAGAGATGGCCCTTTCTTCTGACTGCCTAGCCACTGACAGATGTCTTAACTGCACATTATGACATTGTAACAGTGTCTCTGCTTCTCAGAGGATGGGCTGGAAGTACGTCCACATTTTTCTTTGTGCTCCCAATATGTTTAAAAGGACCAGTGTTTTTAGAGATGGAAGTACTGTTTACATGCCAAGACTTCCAAATTCATTCTTCTCCATCCTATGGATCAGTGAACCCAGGGCAGGGAAATCTTTAGTTTTCAGACTTCTTTCCTTCTCCCCATCACTCCTTAGAGTCAACTCATAAATTTCTGCTTACTAGTAACAGTACATTTACCTACTCAGTTGCTTTGGAGCTTTGGGGGGTCCTTTTGTTCGTTTTTTTAATTGGGGCACAAAGTTTTTCAAAAAAGATCCTTTTCCATTTACATATCTTTGCAGATTTTTTTAGACAGTATTTTGATTACTGCTTGGAATAAGAGACAATAGCAAACCATAGGTGGTTACTACATAAATTTTAACTTGCCATTTCATTGAAAGTTGGATTTCTTGTCTTCCGGGAGATTTTGGTTTTGCGTTTGGATGTTTTGTGTGCATCAGGAAGTAAGTATGTTTTCACATAGGGATTTGGATCTGTGCCATCTTCTGTAACCTGCAATCCAAACCAAAGACAAATTAAAAAAAACTTAGTGTATATCTACCTGAATATTTATTTTCATATCCAGGCTTCACAGTTCTCAGCAGTAAGCTCAGCATCTCTACTTACCAGGTCTTTAATGTGCATCACCATGATAAATAGAGTGCTATTTCTATACGATATGGATAGCTTCACTTCTCCTCCCACTTTGCCTGAGGTAGGACTTGATGGACTTGCATCTGAAAGAAAATATACAATTATTTTCTCTGTAAAATTTGCACATTTTCATCAGTACTACACTGACTATATGTGGGGAAAAATAAAAGCCTTAGACCAAGATCAGTTTCTGATTTTATTTCTAGTTCCCTATTAAGAGAGCAAGGCCATGCATTTTAAAGATTTCTGCATTCTCTTGTAAGAGCCAACTTGGAAGTTAAGAGTCAAAACTTGTATGCAGGCAAATTTGGAAAGACAGGGATGCAAAGTTTCCAATGAGGGAAAACTACAGTTAACAAAAAAAAAAAAAAAAGAAAAAAACACATTGTGAAGGTGTTACACTATAACAATTTAATTTATAAACACCATCCAAAACCATTACCTACCTGTAGGTCTGGCTATTCCATCTATTCCTTCCACTTTGTCATCACGAAGTAATGGATGGAAAAAAGTATAAACAAGATCACACTAAATTTGGATGAAGAAGAAACATTACATATTAGTTGAAGTGTTAACAAGCATCAAATTCTGAAAACCTGCATTAGATTTGCTTAAGTTATTTGAACTCACTTCTGCCACCTCTGAAGAACTGTTCATCAGACTTTGTATGTAGCTGTTGAGCTCCACTTTTCTTTTAGCTGCTACATCTTTTATATGTGTTCTTCCCAGAACCATCTTATTAGGAAAGCTACAACAAAGAATGAGACAGACTTCCTAGTTAATTTATGTGGAGTTAGATTTCATTGTCATTTCCATCCTGAAGTGCTGACATTCTTGTTAAGTCAATCATGAGTAGAAACACAGCATGCTACTAGGTAACTATGTAATGACAGTATAGAAAGGCAAGAAAACATTTTAGGTCACTGTTGTAAGTGGTATGGCACAGTCTAAATACAGAGTTGCTCCTCTGGCTCTCCTCCCATAAAACTCACGAGAACAGCTTTCTCCCTTAATCGCCACTTTGAGGCCTAATTTGCCCTTCTGCAGTGTTGTCTTCATTTCAAGCTATTTCTTCATCCACCCAGCTGGGAACACTTTTGTTGCTTTTGTTGTATCAGTGATGAGTGAGTTAGGAACATACCCTGGTAACTTCCAAAGAGGAAAGAGAATGCCAAGTTTGTTGTGAAGCTCCTGGAACTCATCAAATGTTCGGAAGACAAACGTTGGCTCAACTTGCCCTTCTCGCAGAACTCTCACTACATAGATCTGTCCCAAAACACAAAAAAAACCCCAAAAGATGAAAGTAGTAACAATATTATACAACTGACTTAATATAATTTTCTTAACAATTAATTATTTCTACTATGGTAATCCTTCTCATGCACACATATCCCAGTAACAGCATTTGCACTTTCTAGCAGAGTTTAAATAGCCCTACTGTAATGCACAGTAACATCACATGATCTTCCCAGAAGTTAGATCCACATCTGACAGGGGTATAAAGGTAGTTAAGGCTGTCCACATTCTCCCTTTTAAGCCTCATGGTAAGTTCATACCATCTAGCAGGTGAACAAAGTTTCAACACACCAGTGTAGGATTACATTTAGGACCGGAGCACCTCCCATACGAAGACAGGCTGAAAAGTTGGGGCTGTTCAGCCTGGAGAAGAGAAGCCTGCGTGGAGACCTCATAGCAGCCTTCCAGTATCTGAAGGGGGCCTATAGGGATGATGGGGATGGACTCTTCATTAGGGACTGTAGTGATAGGACAAGGGGTAACGGGTTAAAACTTAAACAGGGGAAGTTTAGGTTGGATATAAGGAGGAAATTCTTTCCTGTTAGGGTGGTGAGGCACTGGAATGGGTTGCCCTGGGAGGCTGTGAATGCTCCATCCCTGGCAGCGTTCAAGACCAGGCTGGACAAGGCCTTGGGTGATATGGTTTAGTGCGAGGTGTCCCTCCCATGGCACCATCCCAGTCCTCTACCCCCAGTTTTATTGCTGAGCATGACTCTATGCTATGCAGTATCTCTTTGGCCAGTTTGGGTCAGTTGTCCCTCCTGTGCGCCTTCCTAACTCCTTGTCCTCTCACAACCTACTCACTGTAGGGGAGGGAGGGGCAAAGTGGAAGAGAAACCCTTGACACTGCAGAAGCACTGTTCAATAGCAGCCAACCATGTGTTACCAACATAGTTTCAGTTAAACATCCAAACCACAGCACTGCGTGGCCCGCTGTGAAGAAAGGTAACTCAATCCCAGTAAGAACCAACACAAACTCTGTTCTCCTCCAGGGAGCAACCAAGCCAGCCCATTCCCAGTAAGATCTAGATTTTGATTATAGGTTTTTACTTTCAAGTAATCCACAGTCCTGCGTGTCAACACTGGTGTAGGTTTCTAGGCTCCATTCTAGTCAACACAGTCATACTTGAGAGAATTCAGCTCATCCTGAATCTGACATTAGTGCCTAAATGAATGTTTCTATAGCTGTATTTATTAAATCTCTTGTCAAGAAAGGGAACCTAGATGCCTACCTCAAAGCTAGCTACTTAAGGCTAAACAAGGCAAATTTCTCCTGTACTAATTCTCTGTGATTAAATACTGAAGTTAAGGCAAGAAGGAGAATATATCTTCTTGGAAGAAAATGCACAGTAACTTCACTGGGTGGAAATAGATTCCACATACTTACATAGTGTTTATCTGGGTTATATCTCTTCTGATACGTAAACACAGACACCTGTTTGATTCGGCCATCTTGTTTAAGAGAGTATGTTTTAGCAGAAAATGAGAGAATGGGTTCATCATTAGAAGGTAGACCTGAGAAACGCAGCTGAGCCAAATTGTGAATGAAGAAATTAAACTTTGTGGCAACACTTCCCAGACTGGATTCAATCAACCTAGAAAGGAAAAAATAATGTCAAAATACACAAAAGTAGATCTATCAATGAATAAGACTTAAGAAAAATAAACATCAATCTCTTATTGACAGAGAAAGAGTTTTTAATTGTGATCAGTGGGCTGTATAAATAGCATCATATCAACATTTAATAGAAGATTCAGTATCCAAGAAGTTAAGGGTTTCCAGAGTTGGTAAAAAGCCTGGAGCACTGCATCCAGCTCTGAAGTCCTCAGTATAAGGAAGACTGGACCTGTTGGAGTGGGTCCCAAGGAAGGACACAAAAATGATCAAAGGGCTGGAAGACCTCTCCTATGAGAAAAGGCTGAAAGAAATGGGGTTGTTCAGCCTGAAGAAGAGAACTTATCGTGGCTTTCCAGTACTTAAAAGTACAATAAGATGGGGACAGCAGGGGCAGTTGCAATAGGACAAGGGGTAATGGTTTTAAACTGAAAGAGAGTAGATTCAGATTGGATATAAAGAAAGAAGTTGGTTGTTTTTTTTATGATGAGGGTGGTGAAACACTGCAATAGGTTGCCCACAGAGAGTGTAGATGCCCCATCCCTATAATCAATTCAAGGTCAGGCTGCACAGAGCAACCTGCTTTGGTTCAACATGTCCCATCTCATTGAAGGAGGGCTGGACTAGATGATCCCTTCTAACCCAAATTGTTCTACTGCAGTTTCCCCCATATATTGAAAATTAAGTACAGTAACACATAGCAACAACTCTGTTACACTATACATACACACACCCACTTGCTACAATAGAGCATCATCCTTTCCTCCCTAGTGTGCAAAAGCACTTCTTAAAAAAACAATTTCTTTACAATGCAAGGTTCTCATCATACACACTACTATTAAGCAATTTTGCATGTATTGGAAATGCAAGTCTCAAACAGCCAGACAGAATTATCTACTCTTGGTATTTCAAACAATTTTATTGCACAAGGTTACTCTTAAAGGCAATGTATCTTAGCACAAGCATTAATCTTGCATGAAACTGATCTTATTTATGTAGTTCACTGATTAACTGATACCTTACGATTGACTTGGGGGTGCTAGTTGATGAGTAAATGCACATGAGCCGGCAGTGTGCGCTTGCAGCCCAGAAAGCCAACCGTATCCTGGGCTGCATCAAAAGGAGTGTGACCAGCAGGTCGAAGGGGGTGATCCTGCCCCTTTATTCTGCTCTTGGGAGACCTCACTTGGAGTATTGTGTGCAGTTCTGGTGTCCTCAACATAAAAAGGACATGGATCTGTCGGAACAAGTCCAGAGGAGGGCCACAAGAATGATCAGGGGACTGGAGCACCTCCCATATGAACATAGGCTGACAAAGTTGGGACTGTTGAGCCTGGAGAAGAGAAGCCTGCGTGGAGACCTCATAGCAGCCTTCCAGTATCTGAAGGGGGCCTATAGGGATGATGGGGATGGACTCTTCATTAGGGACTGTAGTGATGGGACAAGGGGTAATGGGTTAAAACTTAAACAGGGGAAGTTTAGGTTGGATATAAGGAGGAAATTCTTTCCTGTTAGGGTGGTGAGGCATTGGAACAGGTTGCCCAAGGAGCTTGTGAATGCTCCATCCCTGGCAGTGTTCAAGTCCAGGTTGGACTAGGCCTTGGGTGATCTGGTTTAGAGTGAGGTGTCCCTGCCCATGGCAGGGGGGTTGGAACTTGATGATCTTAAGGTCCTTTCCAACCCTAACTATTCTATGATTCTGTGATGTTTGTGAACATCCTTTGGACATTCTTTCCATAGCCAAAAGCTCCCATTAAGAGGATGATGCTGCTGGGAGATAGTTTAGTTTTTACTTATCCAGTACCTTGTAAAGAAAATGGTAGCTTCTGCATCTGTTGTTTGGGGCTGGAGAGCATCCTGGACATACTTTAAGTCCTGAACCCCAGTTAGTTCTGGTAACCCAGAAGAAAGCATCTGCAAGAAATTAAAAGTTACAGATTTAATGCTGTAAAACCAGCATGATTTTACACTGAAATGATTCAAACTTAAAACATTCAAATTCATTTTAAGTTGCGCTAAATTGCTAAATGCTAACAGTGAGAGCCAACAATTACTTATGATCAGCAGTTATTCACCATTTCTGCCGAATAAAAAGCAGTTAAAACCACTGCAGTGTAATTTATGGTATTATCTTAGCTTTAAATTTTCAGGAAACAGGTAGGTAGTAAAAAAGCTTAAAGAAAATTCCAAATATAGCTTTCCTAAGCAGTACATCTCATATTCCTGGGTTTTAAAAGCATGCATTAAGAGTTTCTGCAGCATAAAAAGCACAGCATTTAATGCATCCAACATGACAGATCTACCAAGTTCCAACTGAATTTGAAAATGATTACCAGTGAAAGGAGGTTAAGGAAGAGGCTTGCATGTTTTCTTATCAAGTTGTAAGCTTGACAACAGAGATCCACAAATAACTGAAAGCGAATAGTGGGTTTTTCACCACCATTAATAACATAAGCCATATCCGATGTTAGCACAAAAGGGGCTCGATCCCTGCTCAAAAAGCACAGAATTCAGAAGTTAATTGTAAGATCTATTCACCTTGTCACATACTTCCTCCTGCACTCCATCCCCACCACAAGATAACGATATTAAATAATCAATTAATGCCATTTTACGTTTCTGGGTTTTCAACTCCATAGTGCCAGCTCAGATTCCCAGCACATTCACATGGTACTGGGCCTACAGCAGATACTTGGAGGACACATTACCATACTGTGCTTTCCATATCTCATTTATGGAAGCCATAACACACTAGAACAAACGGAGTAACTCTGCTATCACCCAACTAACACGTAACTCCTCTACGCTGGATGTAGATTATCTTCTTCTACACAGAGGATTAGTAAATAACAAACCTGCTGCTCACTTTTTTCTATAATGTTGACATTCACTACTGTTTTTATAAGCCAGAGCCTCTTCTCATTTGTTTCACACACAAGATACTCGGGTGATATAAAGGTCCTGGCACTCCAATTTTTGTTGGGTTCAAGTTTACCTAACAAGTATAAAATATGTAATTGCATGAAGTATAGATAAAAAAGGTGAAACTATACTCATGTTTCATCCAGTACTCGTGGGAAAGTATGACACAAAGATTTGTGTTAGATGTGCTTCCACTTAAAATAGTTCTGGAGATCAGAATATGGAAATAAGATGGAGCATTTTAAAAATTAATTCTATACAAGTAAATTTGAAAGCATTCTAGAAACTCTGGGGTTAAATTGCAAGATGTTGGCTTCATAATGAGACCAGCAGACAACAGGAATTTAAAAGTTAATGCTTATAATTATAATAATTATAAAAAAATACTAAATATCACTTCATGCTCTACATCACTTAGCTACAGAAAATACCTTTTAAAGCTACCAAACATCTGTGCATGACCCAAAAATTTTCCAAAGTCTATGTGAAACATATGGCCTGTGTTTCGGAGCATTATGTTATCATTGTGGCGGTCACAAATTCCCAATACATAAGTAGCTACACAGCATCCTGCACAAGAGTAAATGAAGTTTTCTGAAGCCTGGGAGGGAGAGAAAAAAAGAATAAATTTTATATGGAATATTAGCAGGAAGAAGCATCCATGCATTCAACATTCAATCCTGACAAGTGTAAAGTCCAAGTCAGACAAGACACCATAAAATCTGCTTTTCTCAAAAAAAGTGTTTTTCAGATAGCATTGCAAAATACTTCAGATATGACACCTTCCATCAAATATCAGAATTTTGGTTTTTAATTAAATGAAAAAGAGGAGTTGAAGACAAATCACAAAAAGAATTAAGTATGTTAGCAGAGAGAGAAAAGGGTGCAAGACATTTTTCCAATGTCTTGTAACATCACTGTAGCCAAAAGAAAACTTTCTGGGTTTTGAATCCCATGTGGTCCTATGGGAAGGGGGCACTGCTCCTAAACCACAGTTAAGGGAGCCTCCATTCCTCCCCATCTTAAATTTGAAGTACACTTTTTCTATTTGCAATAAAAACTGATGAGAATCCTGGGAATCCATCTGGCTACTTTTTTGTTATGAAAGGGATTTTCATTTACTCTTTTTCCAAGTATAGGAAAAAATTAAGTTTTCTAAAGATGTAAAACAAAACTTAAATGAAAGATCTGGAAAAAATTCTTTTACAATATGTTATTTATCCCTTTTTAAAGATCTTCCAAAAAGAACAATAGTGAAAAAACTTACTTTTTCATATTCCTCCTCTGTAGGATTATATTTTCGCAACCATTCTGCCAGAGGCTTGTCTTTAAAAGAACCTGTCACTCCATATTCCACTTGAATTTTCCTGAGTGTGTCTGAAGCAGGAACAAGCTCTACCATGCCTATATATAAAATATAAGAGTATATTTAACCATCTCCTTTAGTTATAATGCATTTTCATTATTCAGTAGAAACTTTCTTGACAACAATGGATTTTATAACCTTAGACTACCTTTTTTCAAAACCCAATTAGGTATAAAGTTAGTGTTATTAGTGTACTAAGCACTATTACACGCCATGTGGCATAGTATAGCGTGAAACACATGTAGCAATCCCAGTTAGGCCTTATTACAATTAGTTACCATGGCTAGAATGCATATATAATTTACACTTTGCAGTTACTGCTTAAAGACTAATACTAGTTTATGTAGTAGAAAGTAATTGTTCAAGTTATTTTGACATTTCTTTTACCCTGACACTTAAGTAATATAGTAAATTTAAGTCCTGCCGAATGGTGAAACAGAGCTCCAGAAATATGGCCATGTGTTTTATACATGGCCTTATTTTAGAGATACCATTTACTAAAAGTATTTGTAGAGCTAAGTTATAAAAGGAAAAAAATTGATTAACAGAATTGTACTGCTATCTTGGCTAGGGTTACTGAACGCAAATCTGTAGTTTACATACAAGTCTGGTCTTCACTTTAATGCTTCAAGTACTTCAGGAATACTAATACTAGCAGGAACAAAAAAACCCCAAACAACATGCTACACAATCAAGGAATTGTTCAAGTAGGAAGAAAAGCCATCTGTTTCTCTAAATAGCAAGTCTTACATAAATAGAAGCTTTTTGCTTAGGCTTGCCAAGTTCAATTTCCAACTTTTTCATGTATTTAAAGATTTTCACCATTCTGGTCTAGTATCTGACTGAAGAAATATTTTAGTTATTGTTTATCCTTCTAAAGATCATGTGGCTCATTGTGGTAGCTCTAGAGAATTTGTGAAAACTAGCAAAAAAGCACGTTCGAGGTGCAGGGTGATATTTATACTCAAGAGTTCTGTGACCTAGCTTCAAGTCTAAAAGGCAGCCTCATATTGCCACGGAACTTTTACCAGTATATGACACTAATTCTGGAAAGTATGTGTGTGCGTGTGGGGGGGCATTTTAAATTTTCCTTCTTTTTGCCTGTTTCAGTACAAGAATGATACTTCCAGACCTAACAGCAGTAGACTCCAAAGACTTTAGAATTTCAGTTTTGACTTGAATACTTTCTTTCACCATAACTAATCATAACAAACTTTCAGAATCAGGATTGCTATGGCAACATTATTTTGTGCTGCAGTAAGGGCATCAAGAGAAACCTTCACTTTTATCGTTATGTTTATTTGTTTGCACCACTATTCACGGACAACAGCATGCATAACCATCTCAGGATTCAAGAAGAGACACATTTAAATGCAACTCAGCCATCAGGAAATTCAGAACAATTTAACTTGCTATACTCTCAGGTATTGAAGTTCCTTGCATGGAAGGCCTTTGTCCTTCCACTGTTTCTTGGGCATGCCTCTGCACAGAAATTTTTCATATCAGCATGACAAATTGAAGTGGGGCAGCAAAGATTATAGGCAGCATCTGGTTTTGCACCTCGGTCTTTTCCAGTTGAGAGGCACTTGAAGATAACCATCCGAAGATCCAGTCCTTCCTGCAGCCATATCTTATCCATAATCTTAATCATTTGTAAAGCCAGCATGTCTTGTCTCAGATCTTCTCCAACCTTAAATGAAAAAATAAAAGTTAGGGACACGTTTTCAGCAAAACAAAACTTAAGATTTTGTTTTACATTTCTAGGAAACATATGATGCATTATGCTACTTATTTCCTCATAGTTATGTGCTCAAAAAGAAGTTCCATTTAAGCTGTCACATGTGGTAGACTTGCTTTTATAGTTTATCTGTTCAGGTGCTGATTTCTAGATACAGAGGAGCAACCTCACAAAATAACTGAGCTATGCCAAAGTTAACTGATACCAATGAAATAGTGCTTATCATTCAACTTTTCTTCTCTAGTACACATGTAAGGCCTACCTTAAACATCACATTGATTTCTTCTCCCAGAGGGTCTGCATTTATCAATGCAACTTTCAGTGGTACTGCATTGGAGCTGAAGAAAGAACATGCCTACAAGTAGATACAGTGTTAATACTCAGAAAGACTATTCTGCTAGCCCAGAAAACAAGACATTCTGACAACAAACAGGTTTGACACACAGTGAGTCTATTCAGACTTTTAACACTGTGATTGTGGTGAATACGTGCTTCGTTTGAATAAAGAGCCCTTTGGCTGTTATTTGTTGAATTTTTGTACAAAATCCAGTAGTGCAGCACAGTGATGTTTTATACATTTTGAAGGTAAGAGTGAATAAAACATGGATATTTTTCAGCAGCTTTTCTTTTTTAAGATAGAAAGCATAAAAACTGGGTATTTGCAAGTTTCACAGTATTTTCTCATTTATCTGCTTTCAAATACATATTTATGATTTAATAGTTACAGTACAGAAAGAAAGCAAGACAAGAAAGAAAGCAAGACAAACTGTCTTTCCACACAGGATTAACTCCAGTGCTCAGAGACCTTTAGGCTAGCAGTCATGCATGATGATAATCAAGACTGTGGTTGAGCACATACTGTCAAACCATGCAGAGCTCTGGAAAAACAATTTAATTGCTTCTGCTCCATTATTATTATTTTCTAGACCTTCACAATAAAATAAAGCTACTGTCTGTCTCCCTGGAATCAGTGCATGTCTTGAACGCAAGCAGTAACTGGTAGTTTCACCTATTTCACAGTATCTACTTACTGAGTTATATAGCTTTGCTCAGCTTTCTTTTTTGATTACGACGGCAAACGGGACTTAGTCACACACTTTAAATAGTCCCCTGCTTTACTATAACCAGGACTGTTGGTCTTGAGACAGGGTATCAAGATAAAATGTTTTTATATATATATATTTAATACAAGGACCTACATTGGTCTTAAAAAGGTATTTGCATAATTTTAACCTTTGCTCAGCTAATTTCACTCCCCCTGTCATAAAGAGCTTTCAAGCATGTCAGTTGAGTTTTTTCTATTTGTAAAAGCTGTCTATCTATGTAATAGTTACAAAAAGCTTTTGAAACTCTGAATGAACTGTACCTTAATATTTAACTCTTTTGCCACAAGACTGGGATTGAGAGGCAAGCGGCATTTGTTCTTCAAGAAAAATAACTGCACACGTTCCATGCCATTTTGCAAGGCAGCCTGCAGACAAAAACCGATAATATTGCAGCTGACATTTCCTTAACTGAAGCATCTACAGAGAACTTTTGGACAAAGTTAGCCTGAAGCTTATCAGTTTCAAAGGCATGCTAGGTATTCTAACTGCTGTTTCAGCTATTAAGAATAAATATGCCTAGCAGTGCAACCACAAACGTTTATGGGCTTTGGTTTATTTGTTTTGTTTTTGACCAAACCAAATAATAGCATCCCACTCAAGCAAAATGAAAGTTGATATGGCTAGCATATAAAGAGACACTCCATTCTTTTGCATAATAGGGTCATTCTTCAGCAGTAATAGGCTGAAATCCACTCCCAGTTTATTGTACACAGAAACCATCCTACTTTTTTACTCTATCACCTCACACAATCCTATGTTTCAAATGACAACAGATTTAACAATAACCATCAACTTCATTAAGCCATTAACTTGTTGAAATAACGAACAATAGATTCATAGATCTATCAATATATTATACAAAACATTTTATTGAACTTAGATCAGAAAAGCAACTGAGTAGATTGTTTTGAGGGTACACTCAGTCTAATTTTCCTTAACAATATTAAAAATATATACACACCTGTCGAGCAGATCCACTTGTTTGCTTTACTCTTTCTGCTACCATTCCAAAAAGCTGCACTAGCTTGGTCTGCTTCTCCAACTCTTCCCTCAGTCTTTTTCCACAGACTGAAAGAAAAGCTCCAAGAATTTGCTCATACCTCACACCAAACTTTGTGTCATACAGTGTACCCTTAAGAAGCCTGGAAAAAAAAAAAAAAAAGGAAAAAAATTCTTAAGGAAAATACTGCAAACAATGCAATACTAAGAGATTAAAATAGTTTAATCAACCAGTAGTATGTATATCTGAAGTTACTGATATACAGGATATACAAAGCAAGTTTGTGCCTTGCAGACACACTTTGTTTTTTTATTAAAAACAAAACAACCAAACAAAAATACCCAAAACACAACCACACCAGGATCTATATTTTGTATACTCTGCATTCCTAACATTCAATGTTATGAATGACGATATTGATGAAGAATATTCCCCCACCCCCACAGAAGTATTAGCCTCATATTAAACACATTAGGTGAACAATGGAACAAAAAATATCTTACCAGTATAGGTAGTGCGCTATTCGAATGCTTCCCAGTGCCCGGGCCAAAAGAAATCTGACGAGAGCACTATCAAGATAGGTTTCATACTTCAATGCCTAAATACAAAGAAAATGAAATACCTCTGATGTGGAATTAATTCTAGATTAGTAAAATTTTGACTAATGCACAAACAGAATCATCCCAGATCCATATGGTAGTTAAAGCAATCATTTATTAAAATCAATTTTCCTACTAGGCATTAAGGTCATTAAGCACAGAAGCATGCAATTGCACTTTTGCTACCAGTGCCCAGCAATTCCTTTCAGTTTTCAAAAGCAAAAAAATTCACTTTAGCATAGGAAGCAAGTCTTACCTGTACAAACTGAGGCAGGAAATCTGTTAACTCATCATCACTTAATGTCTCTATCCAATTCACAGCTGTACTTCGTACTTCCTGATCAGCAAACCTAGAAAGTTGCCACAAGTCCACATTAAGTTTATTTTGTTCATGTAGATTTTTTTTTTGAGACCAGCTAGATACAGAACATTCAATATAATGTCTTGAACAGCTCAGTAAAGGACCTGCAAGTTTGAGGCCCTTCATTACCTAAGATGCAAACACATGCACGTGTTTAGTACAAGAATACTAACATCTCAAAACTTCACTCTTGACAGGTTGGCTGCATAGCTTGCTGTCCTCTCACAAATTAGATTTCAGAATCCTAACCACTACTTCTATTCTTTCACTACATGACTTGGCTAAGCCTACATGTATGAAGTAAGCACATGTTTTTGAAATATTTTAAGAAAATTTAGCTTTTGCTATAAGAAATTTAGCAGTATTTCCACACGAACACCATTCAGAATCTTCTGAAGTAGAGCAATTTAATGTACAACACACACATGCAGAATTTATTTACATTGCTTTTCTTACTTTGAATCAAGGAGTTCCAGTGCAGCTAAAGGTGATAAAGGAGGCCACTGCTGAAGTAGTGAATATATTTCTGGAAGGCTTGCCCAGTCCCAGTGAGGGGCACTAACCAGGATTTTTGGTAGGCTATTTGTATGACTATGACAATAATGTCTCTTCTCCCACAGAAACTCCTTATCTTCTTTTGATAGGCTGCAGACAAAAGCAGTTCAGTTTATAATGCAAATTACAGATCATTACCCGAATAACCCCAACGCTACTTCTAATTGTATAAATTTTAACATGCAAAATAGAATGAAATTAAAATGGCCATTTCCTCCACGAAAGTCAAAACAAGAAGCAAAATAAAGCCTCAAACATTAAGGAAACAGTTGTTCAAAGTTATAGTTTGGGCAGGACAAAAATATGTTGTAGTATAATGTGAAATAAACTAAAATGTTCATGCCCCTGCTCCCTGCAACTGAAAAAATGCCAAGCAGGAACAGGCAACCAGAAGGGTAGCAATCTTGTAACAGAGAATATCATGACACCAGCCACAGAAAGCACGAGTCAATTCATTAAGTCAGCACCATTATTTTCCCAAGTTTAATTCAATTTCTTGTTTAAGTCTCTAAGGTCTTCAAAATAGATCAGAATTGTATTAAATTGTCACATACAGAGACACCATAGGTAGAAAGAGATTAACGTACCCAATAGTGTTATCCTTGGAGAGAATGGCAAAGAGGCGTTGTCTCAATGGTTTTTCTAATGTTTCTATGGAATGATGCACAGTAGTCTTTGCAGCTTCAGGAATTTTATATTCAATATCAAAAGCATGTGATGGGAAGTCAATCTAAAAAAAAAAAAAAAAACAACAACAAAAAATATATAATGCAAGTCCCTAAGAACAGTACAGAAAGCTCACCCTTCCAGCAACCTTGGATGTTCAGGCATCTGAACTCTTGCATTCTACATGTGTAACAGTTTTCAGACACTGCTTCTTGAATACTTTTTCTATCTAAATTCTTCGACATAAGTCCCATTCGACTATGGTCACTAAACACGTCAACTGGGTTTCTGCACAATCCAGTAAGCTGGATTACTCCTCAGAAATGAGGTGAGGATGCTTAGAGTGAAGACTAATCACAGAACTATTAAAATCTGCATCAGTGATATCAACCCAACCACCAAATCCAACCGTGCTTGGGGGCTGCTAAACCACGCCTAACAAGGTGCCTTCTCTTTGGAGAGAAATTTGGACTCTGAATTTAGAATAAGAGCTGCTTATGTTCCGTAAAGAAACTGGAATTGCTACTGTTTGGATCTAGGCAACTCTCATGTCAGCATACATTTCTATAGATTGCTTTTCAGTGAAGTTCTCTCCCAATACTGATTGCACATGCTAGCAAGGTATCGCCAGCTTCTCTTATTTCAAGATAGTGATTCAATAACTGACTTAAAGCAGCTTTCCGTTCTTTGACCTTAATGCTTAGTTATCAATATTTTATACTGGCTTAGCAATATTTATACTCTCCCCAAAACTTTAACTGATCTATTTCCACTTATGTAGGAGTTAGAAGTCACAATATTCAAACAAAACATCGCCAGATGAAGTCAGAATTATATATAACCTGCAGTACTATCCTTTCCATATTTCCTTTCTTACTGGCCACCCCTGATGCGTGATGTGGATGTGAGGTCCAGAGTTGCAAGAGCTTTGTCCCACAAGTTAGCAATCTGAGAAAAAAAGCATGTACAGGTATTAGTGTCACAATCTGTGTACTTCAACAAAGTATTAGTTATTAAAAAACTATCTGGAGAAAATCAATGGTCACTATGATGAAACATTTCCAAAGTATTAGTGTGGTATAGGATGACAGCTCAAACTGAGTATGTGTTTTACAGCACAGACAAGAAGTTATCTTTTGACAACTACTGATGTTCAGAAAAGAACACAGGAAATCAAACTGTACTAGCCAATACAGTTTGGAGCATAAAAGGCATTATGATTATCAAGTGTCAAATTAATTTAATTCTTTTCACCAGATGTCTTCTGTTACTTAAGTTCTTTAAAGCACTACCTGCAACTTTTAGGCAGAGAAGGCAAAGGAAAAAGTTCAATACTGACCTAGTTAAATTAAGTGCTTCCTATTTCTTAAGGGAGAAAAGGAATATTTTCTCTGAAGAATAAAGTGAACACAGACACACATTCTTACCTTCTCAGAAAAAAGACACAAGCAGATGAATATTATAGATATCACCACTTGCCTGGGCTTTCCATAATACCAGATTCTGCAAGCGCCTATCAGATGACATTTATATTTCCCAGTTTATTCCCAATATTAATACTGTTTCAAATTGTAGTAAGGCACAACCAAGAATACTTCATAAATCAGCTAAACAATGTATGTTAGGTACAGAAAATTTCTATCAGTCTTTAAAAATCAAAATACAGTCTCAAAGACTGACTGAAGGCCAAGCCTTAAGTATATTTTGAAAGATGTTTTAGGATTTATGATTTTCAAAGAGCAATTCTTTATGTGTACGTATCAATTAACTGGGAGCCTATGATACCAATAAAAATTACTAAATCATGCCACTAAAGCATAACTGAACAGCTTGTTCATTTTAATAAGTCTCTAGTTTAATACAGATGCCACAGCCTTCTGTCTTATCCAAAAATAAAGGTACTTTAAGCCACTCCAAACACACTTAACCTGAAGTGATTTTAACTTGACTATGGATTCTTCTGAAGCACATACATGACTTTTATCCTACCTATATTTAGTTTTAGCTCCTGACTGCTGCTGCTGTTCTCGACTGTAACTGGAGTATTTGGCTACTATTTTTTACTAGGTCTGGATTTTAGTCATGTAAACTGCAAATGGGTTAGACCACTAGGATCTCAATAGCCGGCCTATGCAGGACATCCAGTAAACGTTGGCACAACACATTCTGTTGTAGCACTCTGCATAAACAGAAAATACAGTTTTCTCCCAAAACTACCGACTGCGAGAACACCATGCAGCATGAAGACAAGATAAATTCACAATTCAAAACAAAAGCTATCTTTACAATCAAATACTGTTAAATGTGGTATTTGGATAGGAGACTGAAACAGAACATTTAGACAGAAGGCTGAAATAAGCATAATTTAGGAAAAGAAATCCAAGTTTTAGTGGGGAATGAAAGCAGCTTCAGGCCATCTCTGGAATACAGGAAATCCTAAGTGCTCAAGCTGTTGGAATCATCACCATACAAAATAGGAAGTGGAACAAATAAAGTCCTATCTAGAGCCAGTGGACACAAACCACACAGAACAGACATAAGCAATACATAGAAATAACTGTCCAGGAAAGACTTGGTTGTCTTTCTGCAACCTTGGTTGACAATTAGATAATTTAAGCTTCCAGTAAGACCTAGAAGTGCGAAGCACATGTAAACAGAAAACAGCATAAATCTTGAAGCTATTTTGCAATGGTGTGATCACTTCTGCAACATCATGCCTAATTCTGACATCTGTGGTTCAAGTCTATTGCTTAATGTTTCATTGAATAACTACCAAATTGATAAGCATTCTGGAATACTCTTCATAATGAAAGTTTCAAGGACAAGGCAACTTGAACAAATCCAGAAACACTTAAATGAATAAAGTTACAGTAGGCTTTTAACTCTTAGTGAAAAAGGTATAGTAGGATCCAGCAGCTGTACTCAAAGGAAGGCCTGTTCAAACTTGAAATATACTTTAACACGGTTGTTAATTATTCCTTTATTTTTTAAATAAATCCTGCTGTGAATCAAAAGGGATCATTTCAGAACATTCTCGGATCTCTATTACTCAAAACAGTATCTGGATCCTCTCGCTGGCTTACATACTCCCACCCTATTATTAGGTTTTGGATTTTTTTAAAAAGGATTAAAGGAAAAAGAAAAATAAAATGAACATCAAAAATTCTCCAGATTGGGTCCTGCATATGTAAACTTAGGAAATACACAGCACTGAATCATTTGCAGCAAAGGCAAAAATGCCTCTAAAGAATATCATTATTTAGAAATACCGCAGATCTTAAAAAGACTTTTATTTCTAAAAATTTGAGCCATTACTATATTTTGCTCTAAAATCAGGATTGGGTGATGGTTAAGAGCTTATTTTCCTATCTTACAACAGCTTTAAGGCAAAAGTGCTTCTTTTCCAGTGACATGATAGAAGCATAACACATTGTTTACCTGCTGTCAGGATTCTGGTCTGTTTTGTATTGCAGTAGGCACTATTCCTGCTAAAACCAAAGTTTGCTGCAAACACTTTCTTTTGCACATGGAACAGGATTCCCAGGTAAGTGGTGGAATCACCATCCGGGGAAGTGTTCAAAAACCATACAGAGGAGGCCTTTAGTGACATGGTGTAGTGGTGGACTTGGAAGTCCTGGGATAAGGGTTGGATCTGATGATCTTAAAGATCTTTTCTAATCTAGTTGATTCTATAATTCAAAGTTGCATTCCCTATCACCATGGCTCATGAATTGGGTAAGAACTGGCAGGTCAAACTTTATCTGCTGAAATACGTGAATACTGACTGAAGTGCCTCTAGCCAATATCAGGTATTAGAACTCATGAAATGCCACCTACCAAAACCATACTCTTTTCAATTGAAAGCAGGCTATCAATTCAGTAGTCAGTGACACCTGCAAATACATTTAACTTCATATAACTTACAGGGCAACACCTGAATGTCGGTGGATTCCTCAAAGGGTAACTTGAGTTGTACTTACTCAACTGCTGCATACTTACAAACAGTACTAACATGACCCCTTTTGGCCCACGTCACTATGAATATTTCCTGCAAATAAAATTGCTTTCATCCAAACAATAATCAGCTTTTGCCAGCAGGTAAGGATTTTCCAGCCAGTCAGATGGAAATACTACAACGAAGGATTGTGATTTGAACCCTATTTAATTGAAGGTATTATTTCCATATCAATATAGTTTAATGAGTCTTACTTTTATCATAATCTACTACATTCAGTGTCAGATAAGCAGTTTCTCTAATTATGGGAGTGCAGTAAGCTTTATACAGAGTAAATCATATTACTCTTACCCATGTTTTGGATACTTACCGCCTAAAATCAAAAAGAGGTAAAGAAACCTGACCCAAAATTTCTGGACCCTTTCTCTGTTTATTTGCGTCAGGAGAACTCCCACTACTTTGATTTAGGATTCCAAACAAAGTCAGACATAGGACTGATTCCAAAGGCAACTGTGAAATTTGGATGGGGAAAATTATGCTGTAAAAGAAAAATATTAAAGATAAGTCAGAGGAAAAAGACAGAAAGTTACAGGCTTATATGTATAATCCTTTCATGTGTCTTGCTTTCAAAAAGTTCATTAACATTGAAAAACAAGTGTTAAATTTCCATGCATTCATATTCTGTTCCACTTTATCTCCCACATCAATAGTTTGAAAAAACTGCTAAATTACACTTCTGTAGCCAGATTTTGAGCAACTCCTTTTAATCTTTGTCTATTAAATTACATTCTTTACACAGAACTGCACTGTCCAGCATAACCAGTCTTCCCACTCTACTCACTAGGAGGACACAGAGTTCCATGTTAGCCATCTCTTAACTTGTCATATTTAAAGAGTCACCTGCCAATAGTTTCCCATCCAAATGAATGAATCTACTCAGAACTCCCGAAAGCTAAGTTCAAATGGTAGAAAACCAGCACCCATAAAGAAAGCAGCTGAGGAGTATACACCTCAATTAGCAATTTAAACTCAGATCTTTGTTTTACACTGTTTCTATTGCTTAAAATGTTCTGTAAGTTTGATTCTTCTGTAACACATCAAAACATTTTAAAAGCTATCACGACGTATTACTAAGCCAGTTACACTACAATACACTGCTTACAACCTGCTTACAATAACTGTAATATAACACATTTTCCATTGTAATACAGTGGTATTTGCCAGCAAAAGATCTGAAAATTAATCCCTTGCATCATCCAAAAAAAAAAAAAAAAAAAATCAGTAGTTGAAGTACTCTCTGAAGTCAGGTATTCTAGAACCGCAAACTCATTTGTACTATAAACTTTAAGGGTATTCCTCCGGGTCTATCTCTGACCTTCAAAAACAGGTAGGAAAATAGATATAGGGCAATGTGGAGCTCATCTGAGATGCTCCACTTATGACAGGCTGCCTGGTAACTATTAAGCAGTAAAGAGTAAGCTGTGCACAGACATAAAAAAAAGATATTTTTCCCTTCTCAGTTATCACCTGCCATCCTCTCCCTATTTTTATTCTACATGCCCTTCCTTCTGCCTTTTTACTGTCTTCCCCTGCCCCATGAAGAGAAACAAGTTTAGTAGCTCAAACCAGACATTCCCGTATGCTACAGACAGATACCCTCAGGAACTTATGCATAGAATTGGGTTGGAAAGGACCTTAAGATCATCTAGTTCCAACCCTCCTGCCATGGGCAAGGACACCTCACACTAAACCACGTCACCCAAGGCTTCGTTCAACCAGGCCTTGAACACCGCCAGGGATGGTGCATTCACAACCTCCCTGGGCAATCCATTCCAGTGTCTCACCACCCTAACTTGCTCTCTTTATAGAAATAATCCTAAATTAGATTTTTAAATTCAGATACAAAGTTGTTACAATTTATTCAGAATAAAAAGTGATTCAATGTTAATATTAGTAAAAGTGAGTTCCTTCTCATCTCCATTTACATAATTTGAGCACTGCTTATAAGCAAGTTCTATTCATCTTTCTTTAAGCAGCACAAACTGTTCCAACTACAAGTTATGTTATGAGCTTTCCAACCCCTTATAAGTGCATACTACAAACACACTAGCAGAGGGCACTTGTCCAACATTTCCATTCCCCACTCTTAAAATGAATAGTGAAATATCGTTTGGAATATTATTTCTGATTGTGGGCAGTATGTGTCACACACTTTTAACACTTCAAATGGAATCCGAAGCAAGAGATGCTTGAATGACTAGGTACTAGCTAAACTGAAATATTTTAGTGAGTCTTAATGTGCTGAAATCACTTACAGTTCATCCCATTTAATCAAGTAGAAGAAGTTCTTGTATGTGCCAACTTTCTTGGACTGAACAGGTTTAAACAGATCTTTTCCATTATGGGTCAGAGAACAAATCAAGTAGTATTTTTCATAACTGGACAAGGAAAAGAAAGTAAATTAAACAAAAAAATAATCTGTAAGAGGATGAATTTTACAATTAATAAATTACTCACTTTGATACCCAACCAGAAGAAATTCCATGAGCAGCAAATATTGTGAACTGGAGGTGTTCTGTGGCAGTCCATGCCTCCTTGGTACTCTTACCAACTTTTGGAGAAGTTGCTGCAGAACTGCTACATGAATTCATGTGGAGTTGCAGAAGGGCTTCAACTGCTCTTGTTAACTGGTCTATACTCACTTTCAGAGGGTTTTCAAGCTGCAGTGAACCTAAATTATAATTTATCTTTAATGCATATATTCCTGGACAGCCACCTGAAAGCAGTTTTTAAGTAAGATTGAAAAACTTTACTTACTGGATGAGCTCTTGCTAATGTCATCACCACACTTTAAGGATACCTGCACAGCGAAGTTAAAGCAGATGTCAATACCAAGAAACCCATATGAATTTTCTATTTGTCTTATATATGATATACAGAAAGCACAAACTGAATTAGACCCATATTTGGGTTTATGCAACACCCTTTTACTCAAAGCTCCGGAAGAGTTAACTGACAGCATCACAGCTTCCACATCATGCCGCAATTATTCACCAAGTTCAAAAACTCATGTTTTTTCAAGTCACAACTATTTTGATATTCTTTATCAACTTTTAAAAGATACAGTCCATTGGAATATTGTTAAAGAATACCCTGACTACAGACAAAACATGGCCAAGGCTGTTACAGTCGAATGAAGAAGCTGTTAGCTCTACTACCCGGTCATTTAAGTCTGAACAGATGTTCTGTTTGTGGCATTTGTTAACGTATCTTCTGTAGGGAGATTTACTATAAGTTTACTGAATAAAATATGCTAAACAACTGACAAAACTGAATAGCAAGTACTGTTACTTTGTGCTATCTGCTGTGTCTGCTTCTTGGTCTGCTAGAATTGAAGTCTAAACATGATACAGTATTACAGCAATGTCTGTTCTCAACAAGGACACTGTCAGAGCCAACAGGTGACAAACAAATCACAGGAATTTACTCCCTTCTAACAAGGAAGGGTTTCCAGCCAAATTCAGCTTCTGATAAAACTAAAACTCTTAATGAAAACTAAGTTTGTGATTTAAAAACAAAACCCAGTGAAATTCCTAGTACTTCAGAGAAAGTCTAAGCAGCTTGCCAGAATTGCTACTGAAGAAATAAAGTTCTCCTTACACTTCTGATCTATTAATTGAGCATCGTCAACTTTAAGATTTAATTACCAAAATTTCACATTCTTATAAAAAACATGCAAAAACTTGGGGGGGGGATAGAAATCACATCATTTTTGCCTTTCAGAAAGGCTGCCGTATCTTTTCACTTCACTTGTCAAGTAGTCCAAGTACTTTTGGATGACAGGATACAAAACTGTTGGAACAGCAATATATGTTTGATTTTTGACTTGACAGTGTATTGCTTTCTTTTACTTTCTGGCCACTTCTTCCAACCATAAAACAATTACTAAGAAAAGCAAACAATATAAGACTTAGGTGCAACCGGCTCCAATCTTTATAGCAGTTTCATTTCTGAATGCAATCTCTACATGCCTTCACAAGCATTACTGTTTAAGCCAATGTTCATCACAAGAGAATTGCAGGGTTTTACTGACAAAGTACCACCTTTTCCAAATTCTACTGGGATAGCATTATTTTGGGAATTTATTTTTACACTGTAACTATTCTGACAGCTTCCTTCTACCAAAAAACAAACACTGAAAAATACTTAACACATTATTTCACCAAGTTTTCTTCATACAACTTCTGAACTTCCCTGCAAGAATTTTGGTTCTGGTAACTACTGTATCTGGTCTGTGCATTTTGCGAGACTTCTGTTCAGTATTACAAACACGACACAGAACTGATGAAGTCCAAAATGAACAGAACTGCACATGAACCACCACTCTAAAAAGGCAGCAGGACAATTAAAACAGCATTACAAGGCTACTTCTTATTTGCATGCTTCTCCACTAATGACCGTTTTGACATCGTGCCTTGACAACAATTCTGCTCAAGGCAGTTTTATCATAAAAACTGTGCTATTTGAGAGATTTTATTTTTGTCCATATACTCAGGAATGCAGGAGCATGAACTGTTATGAGTTTTAAGATGCTGTTGTTATTCACATAAATACTGCACAGGAAGTGCATTATGTGAATACCTCCTTTAAGCATAACTGCATTGATTTTAGTGGGCATGAGCTAGCTGCCAGTTTCCCTTGCTCAGATTTAGTAGCATGTGCTGCAATACAAATCTGTAGTTACAGAATGAGTATTTTAAAATAGTTTTAAAAAAAAGTCACTATTTGGAACAGAACAGGATTCTGTAAGAAAGCAGTTAATGCATTAACAGCAAAGAGATGCTAAAATAAAATGGAAGATATCAGCTAAAATAAAAATCAAAAAGCAAACCAAAATATAAACCTGACTGGGCTGTTGCTGGTATTTTCAGTTATGAAAGACTATTAAGTAGTATTTATCAGTGTTAAGAAGCATACCTCAGAATACAATTTATAGTGTCAAAAGTTTACCTCAGCATTTTTAGTCCTTGGAAGATTAACAGCCCTTCTTAGCTTCTTTACTGATTCCGTTATTGCAGGAGTCTCTACACAATCCAATGTAGAACAGATTTTTCTGACAGTCTTAATTACATGATCTACTGCTTTATGCTGGTTCTAGTAAGAGAGAGATTAATCTGATCATGATCATGAAATCCAATATTGTTTCAATTTTTATTTTCTTAACAGAATGTATTGCCAAGAAAATTTCATTATGAGATGCATATTTCAATTACATTAAACTGTGGTGAAAGAATGAAACAAAAACTTCAGTATTGACAACTTTCCTATAGCACAGTTATCAATGCCAAAAACATATTAGTATGGATTATAGTATAGGGTCCTGGGAAACACTGAGGCTTCCAACTGTTTTCCTATTAAGCTGTTGGTAGACAAGTATTACTGAATGAGATTAAGTTCAAATTCCCTCATGACACAGTAAGTGTAGATTAAAAAAAGGATATTCAATTAGAGTGAGCAAGGAATGCTAAAGAAGCAGCACTTCAATTTCAGCCCTCTCAAAACAAGCACATAGGTTTATATTACACTTACACTATAGTACAGCTTCCATAATAGAACTTCATCTTTTTTATTTCACTTTAATATAATTTTGGGAAAACGCCTGTTGCAACTTTTGCCTTATGTATTATTTAAATGGTTCTTCTATATGCAGCAATTGCAAAATAGAAATGCAAATGCAAAAGTGTAAATGCAAATGCAAAATCTTGGAGAAGGAAAGGAAGGGGGGTTGTGCACTTCACAGGAATCGTTTTTGTTTGCTCTTTAGTATAAGCAAAGTCCTAATCCAATTTTAAAGAACACATGTAGAAAATTAAAACAGATGCTTCAAAATAACTGTTTACTTTTTAAAGGCCTTATGTATACGTTTCTTTCACAACTACTTATAGTCACTTACAAGGGATTGGTGTAACATGCCCTCAAAACCTAAACTGATTCCTGGCCTACATCCTCCCCACCCAGACATATTCTCACAACCTTCCTACAAATGGATAACAAAGAAGCCATTTGAACCATAAAGCTTTTGGATTGGGAGTTATGTGGCAACAGTTAACTTCATCCTGGTAAGAAAATAACCATATAAGTCCGAAGACACTGTAAATATTTAAGCCATACTTTCAAAGCTAACACGTTAAACATAACAGCTGTTTTGATATATGAAAAGCAAAATTTCCACTACTATTTTCCTCACAGGTTCTCGAATTAACCTGAATAAAATTCAAAGGCTATGTACAAGTTATTTATGGATTACTTTATCACATTTCACTGATTAGCAAGCTTCAGCTACTGAGTACGTATAGGAATTCACTTCAGTGAAATTTAAAATGCAGTAACTGATGATATTTGAACCTGACCATCATCACCTACAAGGTGCATCTCCCATCCTTAAAAAGACTGTAGAAAGAGTAGAACATATAAGCCTGAATTGAGGTGTTTTGCATTCCTCACCTCAGCCTGTGAAATCACAGTTAAACAAGCAAGCTGAAGCAGCTGCAAGAGCAAAGCAACAAAACCACCACCATATTAAGGAGCAGTAACATCCCACTCTTCTACAAAAAGACTGTATTCAAAATTACCCTTGAGAACAGGGTGAATCACCATCAAGGTAATTAAATAACATCAAGGGAATATGTAAATAGTGGACATCAGTTTGTTCAGGCCTGCATTCCTTTGAGAGGCAAACAAACACAGTGGAAATGAAAAGTATTGTAATTAAGTCATTAATTTCAAGACTGTTCTTATAGAAACAGTTTAAGGAACGTAGTTAATATTTGAGAATTTACGTCTCCAAGTTACATTCCTACCAGTTAAACTAAGCTTCTCCTTTTAGAAGTATCTTCAGCTTGCCTTTGCATTTGGGAAATTACTCCAAATTACTCCACATGCACAATGTTTTAAGCTACCTATCATACACTGAAACAGACAATGATTTTAACAGCGTATTTTAAATTAATCCAATAGAGCAGAATAAAAAATTATCACAGTTTGTGTAAAACTTACTTGTATTCTCCACACATGCTTCAGTTACTCCAATTCTACCCAACGATTAATGTTCACCTGTGTAGATTTGTATCTGCTACCAATATAGCATTTATGGCTGACAACTGACACAGTCAGAATTCGCACCTTTTCCCTATTCCGACAGATAAATCTCTTTTGAGATTTTTGAGGAAAAATGTTATTTTGCACCCCAGGACTTGGAAGATACATTTCTAATTCTGATGATTAGGTAATAATTCATTTCCAAGAAAAACTAGGAAGAAAAGAGGAAAGCAATCTAAAAATCCATGATTACAAACTTACATTTGACAACTTGTTCAGATCTCAAGTTTCCCTAAGAATACCTGCAAGTTTTTTTTCCCATTAATACCTCATTAAATAATCTTTATATAATACCTCATTAATAAACTTTCGCATACTACTTTTGGTTCAACAATAACTTGCAATGACCTTACCTCATTTTTAAGAGCTATGTTAACTTGCTTGTGATATACATCAAAAAGCTCTTCAATAGAAGACCTACAAAAAATAGTAGTTATTGATCACAAATACAAGAGAATAACATAAGTTTGGTCAGAAATTCAGCAATGGACTTGATTACTAAACCAATCACATAGTATTACCTTATAACAGGCTCTCTGAAAGGCTTTTCTACTTTGTAGAGGTGTTTGGTTAGATGTATGGGTGTTCTGTCATCATCATCCTGCAATAAAACATTAGAAACATGAGAACTGGATTTATTACCTACAATTTCTAATACTGTTTTATAAGTTTCATTATTAATACCCATGAAGTAAAAGGAGAAGACAGAAAGCAGTATCTTTAAAGGGAAAAAGAAATAACTAATTAACAGCCTACAAAGAGTGCATATATTGGGACAGGGGGAAGAGAGAAGATACAGGAAACAAGTGCTTAGCTATGCAGAAATCAAATATTTCTCCCTTTGTCTATGGTTTGATACATACCTAATTAAATGCAAAAACTGTTCACAACTTTTATTTAACTCAAAATTTGTTGCTTGTCTTTTCAGACCTCAAGTTTACACCAAATGGTTGCGTATGTTTTCCAGCTATAGTGCTTCCTAATAAGAAATATCATCTGTATTTATACAATTTGCATTGTGAAAATTTGTTATATGTTTCAACTTCTCAGTGTAAGAGGGTACAATTCCCAACACCAAGTAGATATACTAATTTGTAAACACAAAAAGGTTATGCTTCAGATCCATCAACTCTGATACGAATTCCCAATCTGAAGATTTACGTTGCTGCTGCAGTTTAGGAGGTACTTACTGTTCGTGCAAGATCACTGCATATTACACTATGGGTCAAGAGCTGCAGTTTGATTTCTGTATCCCACTTCCGACAGTTCTGAATATATTCATGACTTCCTATGCAGTGCTTACTGTTAAACAAAAGAAAGTTATAAGTTACATCAAAAGTACGCAGTGTTTCCCAAAAAAACCCAAATCTCACATGGAATATCTGAGGCAAACTGTTGGCTCAAAATAAGGAAATGGTGAATTAACCTCCACACCATACTACTTGATCTGATTTTTACTTCTGCAGAAGCTTTAGTATACTATTACAGATACCTGTACTTTGGGTAAAGCTCTTAACTGCTGTGGCTAACATGGAAACCAAGTATTCTAACACAAAAAACTAATGGGGATTTGTAAATCATTAGCTTGGGAGAAGGAGGGAGGGGGAGAAGGAGGAAAAAAAACAACACCACCACAAACAAACAAACAAAACCAAAACCAAACAAAAACCAAGCAAATACCCCACCAAAACCAACAAAACTAAAACCAAGTAACACAAATTATTAGGAATCAGAAGTCATCAGTAGATTTTTTTTTCATGTTTGCTAGAATTTGAAGAGCAGCTGAAAACTACAATATCCATCTACAGAAATGCTCTAGAAATCTGCATCTGAAAAAAATTGCTTGTGTTCAACACAACAGATGGCAGACTAGAATAGGTTTTTAGGAAGGTGATGAGAACTCACTTCGCTGCATCCCAGAGCAACTCTAGAGATTTCTGATCTTTGTGCGAAGTGTGACTCTCACATGTTTTAGGATTTCTGCTTTCACACATTTAATCATTAAAGACATACTTTCCAGTAACTGTGCCATGAAAAGGCATGAAGTTAAATATTAATGAAGAAGAGTTTGCTTACTTCTGTAAAACTTCTTCTTGGCCACAGATTTTCAGGATATAGCTGCCAATATCCACTTCATTCAAATCATCATGCACCCAGCAAAGCGCCTGCATTATTATAAGCTCAACAGGGGAACTCACTGTTTAAAGAAATTACATCTAGGAGTTAAATATAAATCAAGTAATACTAACAATTATTCACTCACAAATCGTAATTATTTAATGAAATTTATTTTTATATTCATAGGGAAGACTCTTAAGCTTTTATAATCTCCTAGATTTCATAGTCTGAGGTCTTAATTTTTTGCGTTTGAGTGGTTTTTTTTTCCTTGCAAAGAAAGGCAATTATAAAACCTGCCTGTAGTTTAATAAAATCAATAAATCCTTCCTAAATTAGGAAGTAGTACTCCTGTACTACCTTCAGCAGATAATAGGGTGGAGGTTAGAGAAAAAAGACGCAGCAAGAGTTTATAGACTACAGCTACAGGCTGCATTAGCAAAGATCTGCCAGTCCTGCAACACCTAGTGGAATAATGCAAAGATAATGCTACCAATGCTTCTTCCCTGCCATCCGTCTTACTGGAGGACATTAATTTCTTACTGACACACTATGATTATTCAGGTAGACTTACACTTCTGTGAGAAGTCGAAGAAGCAAACACAAAATAAAATAAAAAAATAGGTACACCCAAGATAAACTCTGAAGTTAATCCATTTTCCTCCTGGACTCTTTCTACACATTGCGTTGTCAGAACACTGGCAGGCTTCAGTTCCTTCTGTGCAGGACTCAAAAGCTATATTAGGTAGTTCTAGCACAGTAGGCCAATAAGGTATGCAACAACTTGACCAAGCACAGAAGGAATTAAAGGAAGAGAATAACTTTAAATACATCTATTACTAGTCACATAGGAACTACACATACCCATCTTCCACAGGCTATGGAAGGCAAGTAGTTTTAAGTGCAATTAGTGTCAGCATCAGATAAATGAAGAGAGCAGAAAGCACAAAAGAATAAGATAAGTGGGGCTAAAATGCAAAATACGTTCCAAGATATTCACAAAACTTCCAGGAATAAGTGGCTGAAGCCAGAACAGTTTAGGTGTGCTACCAAAGCCTTTGTAGGAAAGGATTAAGCCTGTAATATTAGGAAAGTATAAACCCAAGGATCAAGGGCAGAAACCCTTCCTAGGCTCCATTTACATTCCACCTAATTTCTTAACAAAAGAGTATAAAAATCTCAGCAGAATAACTGTTAGGTCTAGCAAATTAGTAGAGAATGCAGTTATGCATTGAGAACTTGTTTTCAAATAAAGCAGCTAGTTCCAGTGAGTAATAGAGCAACTTTGTATCTTTTGGAAGCAAATCTAAAACATCTACACTGTTAGAGAACCAAATAGTAAAAATCCACCACAGCACAGATCCTCTACCAAGTGTCACAGTCTGAGAATGGGAACCCCCACAAGGGCTAAGATACTACAAATTAGAGAAGCTAAAAAACAAGTTGCTCCTGAGGCAATTTATCATCAATTGTTTTATCACCATGAACTGCCAGAACTGAACAACATCCAGAGTTACAGCCTTTAGTGCAAACATGCTGTGCAGTCTTGATTGCACAGAAAATACAAATATATGTACAAGGCAAAAGTAAAAGTTTCACCCCAAGCTAACTAATACTCCTGGGTTACCCATGAAACTGGGCTGCCTAGCTGTGGCACACTGACAGCATTATTTGAGTGTTTGTGTTCATAAGCATGTATTGAATTCAAGTAACAGATAATTTCCATGTGGATTCTGATTTCCCAACAGCAATTTATCTGAATTTATATAGCCTGCAAGAACATGTCAGTATGTTGAAAAAAAAAATAAATTAAAGTTAAGACTCTGTGTCCTGGTGTTGTCCCCTCAATAAGCATAAAGTAGGTCAAACTCCTGAAAAATTATTTTAACATTCCCAGCTGTGGATAGAATGGTGCTTCTGGTTTGCTTGTCTTTCCTTTTTCAAAAAAGGTTTTACTTTGTCAGCTTCTAAATGTTTTCTGATGGAGGCAGTGACTCAGAATAGATTCCTTCTTCTGTTACCTTTTCCACGTTCCCCATGAGTAATCCATACACCTGAGACCCAGGGATTACAACTGAAAGCCATTGGCCAGGACAGAGTGTACACTTAACCCACCTTTCTAAGTCTCACAAGCAAACTCCAATTTAAAAAGCAGAAACATACCATCACACGTGAAAGTTACTGGTTGCTGGAATTCTTCAATTTCTATAGAAACCTTGATACTGGCACTCTCCCCATTTATATTTCTTTGCAGCGTGACTGGACTCAGCACAAAGCCTGGATTTGTTTGCCGATTAGCATACGGAAACTTGGTCCTCAATCTGAAAATACAGAAAGTTTATGAAACACTGCAATGGGTAAGTCTTAGACTAAAGCAAAATAACATGGTAACAACCACAAACCAGAACAGTAAAAACTACCTTTTGCTCTTTACCTAAATTGGATATACAAAACACCATTTAATTTTTCTACAGTCAACAGAACATTGCCCACAGTAATTACACACATAGTAGTTACACAGGAAAAAAAAAAAAACAGCTTATAATTAGGCACGTTTTCCATAGAGCTTAAATATTTAATAGGTCAATGCTTACAGGACATATGCAACTTCTGTAGAAGCTAAGTCCTAAAACAGTTTTTAAAAAGCTAACGCATAGCATGTGCTGAAAAATATTTAAAAAGAAGAGTAATTTCCTTTAAGTGCAAGACACCACAAAACTTTTTACATGTCTCAGTTTCTGGAATTCTAATCTGAACTTAGATGCTATGCAGAAAATAGTTATTTCAAGTCACGGAAGTTCCATTTTAAGCACAGGGTCTTGAAAGAAAGGGCAACAAATAGATTTAATTAGAAACTGTTGCAACAAGCCTCTTTTATGTGAGATTTCCCTTAATGTTCATCAGTATGTTTCATATGAATTCTCATTGGTTTTACAGAGTTTTTCTTTTTATAAACATTCCTGGTTTTAGAAGGAGCTGTTATCCTTCAGATTCAAAGATACCATTTCCCCCATTATTTCTTGGCTTTTGATCTTGAGAGACAAAAAGGCAAGGCTCCTAGTTTGTGTTCTAAATGAAGGAAGCAAAACAAAACCAAATACCAGAACTCATTTAATTGTGGCAGTAAACAAAAACAAAACCAAAGAAGGAGCATTCTGGGTTATCAAGTCTCATGTTCTCTGGTATGACCTTAAGAAACTTCACCACCTGATCAAAGCAGGGACAAGTTTGAAGGTTTTATCTGTCACAGAACTCTAGTTATGGATGCAATTAAAATTAGAGCATTCAAGGGCTGGAAAGCCATTGCATGACAGGATTTAATGAGGTGTATCAACTAAGGAAAAAAAACCCAACCCAAAAAACCCCAACAAAACTCCAAATTCTTTCAAAAGAAACTGTATTAAAAAGATAGTAGAGCTAGATACAGAAAAATAGTTTGAGGATAAAAAGATATTATGAAAACAAGGGAAAAAAAACAGGAAAAATCAAAGGAACAAAAGAATAAAGAGGAAATATAAACCAAAAACCTTTGTAGTAAAAACCTTTACAGTGCTGTTACATTTTTAGGGGAAGGGAGGAGCTGGGGAACAAAACCAGCTCAAAAACATCAAAAACAATAGCAACAAAAACAACAAACAAACAAAAAACACAATACCAAACACCACAACAAAAAACCAAACAAGACAAAACCAGGAAAAACCTGGGATAAGGGAAAAAAAGGGAAACCCACACATACTGAAATCCACCCCATCAAGCAAAAAAGGTGGGACTGGCCCTGTCAACCTAACTAAAAATTAATTATTTGCCTTTTTTTTCCTTTTTTCTCCTTCCAAAAGCTGATTTGTATTCAGAAATTTCTTACTTTGTAACTGCTTGAGAAAAAGCTGACAGTTCTTGATTCTGTCCTTCAATTTCTTGGAGAAGCACATTTTCTGTCAGCTTGCCAGTGGTCCCATTGTCTTTCTGCAACTCAAAGATAATACAGTATTTAAATAGCTGCAAACATATTCCTATAGCCAGCAAAGCCATGTGTTGATGAAAGACTTTAATGAGTCTGAGGTTTACTATTAGTTTTATATCAAGTTCTGTAAGGAGAAAAATGCACATAGCAACTAAACTGAAAAGCATTAAGGTTCACTGGACTCCTTTACAGAAGGTAATTTATCTGACAGCATCATTATCAGTTAAAATGAAGTTGCAAGCATTTCCTGAGCTCTCAGCAGTGCGCTGTTGCATTAGAATTTGGATAAATTTTGCTGAAGCAAAGGAGGAAGACAATTTTTTTTTTTCTTCCACGTCTATGATTCAGCCTTCAGTGTAGCTCCAGAAAGAATCATTACACAAGTTCTGCCCATGATTACCTTTTCTTACAAAGCAGGAAAAGAAAAGTTGTACGCTGGAAGGAAACAGCATTCAGAACACTAAACTCGGAACTAATCTTGTGGTATGAAATGACTACTGTTTCAATCCCTTATGCCATGTGCACTCACCAGCTCACAAATACATAAACCACAATCTTTGACGTATTCAATCTAAAAAATAATTACTAAAAGAGAACTGCAGTTTCAAATAACAAAATCCAATAAACTTTTAAAAAAAACAAACAAGCCAACAACAAAAACATAACCAAACACAAACAAAAACCTGCAGCAGTCTTCAATCCATATCAGTTTCTGATGCAGTTCACAATCGCTAGTGCTAGCAAAAAAGCAAAGAGCAACTGGAAGAACCAGTGGCACTGAAGTGTAACTCAACAGCCTGTAGTCTAACAACCACTACTAGCCTGAAGCACTCATGAAACTCCAGCCAGATACTTCCTGGAATAAACTGATCATTAAGAGTTTGCTCATGTCCAATCCAGGGTCATTGCACACAGAGGATAAAGCCTTCTGACCAGTTACATTTTACATCCACAGATTTTACAACGCTTATAGAAACCAAGGACTCAAAAAAAAAAAAAAAGCAGACTATAGTTCTGAAAATCTTCACAATTTATTCTTATTTGAAATAGGGATTGACTGCTTAACTAGTGTGTGGGTTACTTACCATTAGCTGACAAAGTTAGCTGAGCATCTTGATTTCACTGAGCATATAGTATACTGTAGTTCAACTACACTCAGAAAAGGTAGGTCAAATCTGTAACATGCTAGGGGCTCAGGTCTTTTAGCACTTTTTTTTTCCCCTCATATTAACTTGTTTAACTAGTATAGCCTAAACTTGGCAAGGCTAATATACACAACCTATAACTGTTACTTGAACTGCACTTAAGCCTAGTTATTTCAGCTAAAATATTGGTTGCATGAACACTGAGAGTTCAAAAGGATAAATGCCATGCAATTGGGGATAGCCCTGCTATGGGAAGCAATTAAAGCAGGAGGCCATCAAGCCACCAAATCTGGAATAAGATTCAGAAGCATGGATAATACCTTAAATTTAAAAAGGTTTTTCTATTATAATATCTCAGACAAGTTTCATCACAAAAATGCTTCTGGGCAACTGCAGGAGACCTGTTGACAAACCCATGCAATCTAGCATATGTATTCTTTAAGCAGTTACACGATAACAAAAAAATCATATGAGAAGAAAAGTTAACATATCAAGTGAAAGGTAAATACCTTTGATGAAGGTGCAACTAACTGCTGGTGAGTGCTCAAGACCAACCACAATCATCTGAAATCAAGAAGCTGACTATAAAGTTTTCTCTACTTAGGAACTCCTTTTTAACTCAGCTAAGTAATGCTACAAATAAGTACCCAAAGCACTTTGCAACACTAACCAGAGTATGAAAGCACCACATAAATGGATTACCAAGTCACACCAGTGATGCAGCATTGCAACTTTTTACCATTATGTGACACTTCTGAAATATTTACAGCAAAATTTTCAGTTTATTCTGCTGTTAATTTCAAAGAAATTTAGGGACCTACAAGGCAACTGTGCACATGCAAGCTTAGCCAGAGTAAACAATAAATTTTAATGTAATGAGGAAAGAAAAAGGTTTATTTTGTTACCACAGTTGATCTCAGGGTCACATTTGGCTAAGAAACAAAAAACCAAGGTTATTACAGATACGTACTGCTGGAAATTATCTCCTTTCAGACAATTACAAACATTAAATATCTCACTGATTTTTTTAGCTGAATTTCAGTACTAATTTTTGATCACTTTTTGGAAGATAGTTTCAGGATAAACTAGGTAAAAATCAACTAATTTAAAAATCGACTCGACTCACATGAGTTTTGAGCAACAATCAGAATTTGAATTTCTTTAACTTCCAGATGAGCAAATCTAAGAGGTGCAAAAGCTATCAAACCAGAAGTAACTTGCAAGAAAGGGCTTCAGGCCAAACTAGACAAGTAGACATCAGAACAAGTATCAGAACAGACTGCAAAACCGGAAGAGTTCTGTAAAGACCATTGCTCTTAAAAAAAAACAACCAAGAATGAACCAAAATCCAAAAACACAACCAACAAAAAAACAAAAGAAAAAACAACCACCCACCAAACAAACCCCAGTAAATTACAAAAAAAGTTAAGTTAAATCCCACGAACATATAAAGCCACAAGACACTTCAGCTCTGTGGAAAGGTAGAGAAGAATAACACCTAAAATAGGACAAAATTGTGATTTTGCCTCTGCTTTCAGAAATGAGAGTGACAAACACTCAAGTATTTAAAGGGGAATACTGAATATATAGTTACTTCAACAAATACTGTAGCAAAACTCAAAGCAATCTATGATTCAAGGGATTACATATAACAGAATCAAGCTGTATCACTAGAAACTTTTACTAATTATTTTTGTTTAAAAGGGCAGTGAGACCTGAGTTACTTAGGGGGCTGGGGGAGAAGAAGAAATGATCCAGACTATTTAGGATGCAAGACATGAGGATATTGTTTGAAGGAAATGTATACCTAGAGGTAAATGGGGATAAAATACAAAAGAACTGCCAGAAATATAAGCTACATAACTCAGCTTCTTATACCAGTTGGAAAATTATTTAAACTAGAAAACAAAGTAGTAGCACAGGATGGGCAAAAGATAAAGCAAGCCCCACAGGTTATGTTGAAAGGATATCCATTTAAGAGACTCTGCTTTAAATCTATTTATTATCTTCAATAACTCAGCATGAGCAGCAGAAAGAACCTTGCTGATAACGTGGAGTCTTGTATTGTCAGCTAACTTCATAATACACGTTTTAGAAGAGGAGTATTATGCCGAAACTAGTTAACCACAGATCGAGGAACAGAAGTGGAAACTAAGTCTTGAACGTTCAATTGGGCATTCACTGCAGGAATTTGCTATTAACTAAGAAATTGTTCAAAAAGATGATGGCTTAAGAAAAATCGGATCTCTTAACTGACTACAGGATTGATATGTGCTGTTGGGATGCCACTGTGAATAAAGAAAATGCAATAAAGGTGCATCAAGCAGGATGCCCCTACCTGTAATGACCACATAACAAGCACTGGAAAACTGACAAACTCATCACTACATAACACAACAAACTGAAGAAGCAAACTGCTGTAAAGCCCAAATTTATATGCCTTTCCAAATACTAGGAAATAACTTGAGTTCATATATCAGAGCTCAACAGTAAGTGGAAAAGAAATAAAACGAAGTTAGACTCAAGATCTTCACACATGTATGTTAAAAATGCAGTCCCTTAGAAACAGAGGTAAATGGTTGGTTTTGGACCTTCTCCACTCTCCTCCTATTAAACTCTTGCCAGAATACTGTCAACTAGCCCAGAAAAAAACAGGAAATCCCTCAAATGAAGGGCCAAAAATTTCACTTCAATGGAAATTTAGACAGCCCTTTAAGCCAAAGTCTAGTAAATATTCCTTTTTCTGAGAATAAAGGAAAAAACCCTCCCCCATTTTGGGGGAGGAGGAGGGCGGAGAATAAAGTAGCAGTTTAGAAACTATCTCTGACTGATAACAGTTGGGTTTTTCTAAGTCTGTTAAAAACACCTAGGAAGACAACAGCTAAGATTCAAAATATACAGTCTGAAGTCTTAGAGGGAAACAAATCTTTTACTTGCCCCTCCCTCCCCCAACCAATTTCTACAACTGTAGCTTTTTTCTGCTACTATCACCCTTGCCAGGATGGTGACTTTTCCACTGAAGACTTCTTCTTCAGTCTTTGTACTCTTTCTACCAAAAAAATAAAATTACAAAAGTATTCATAATCATTTTCTAGTAAGGTGACTAATATTTTAAAAACATAATGTCTTATGATGCAATTATCATGGAAAGAATTTAAAAACATAGGAAAAGTTCAATAATCTACAGTCACTTATTGGACTGTAGGGTAGGAAGCACTTACAGAGGCATAATTAGCCAGGTGAGACTGCTACTGGTCATCTGCTGTACAGTTTAGCCTTGATACAAACTGCATATACTCAATTTCCAAAAGATGAGTCTCATAACTAGTCTCTATTCACATTTTTGTATTGAAAGTTGGATGGAAGTGATCCTGATCCCAGAGCCAAAATCACCCTTTTGTCCTGCCCCAGAGAAGGTACCCTTTTGCCTTTGTGCCCAACCACAAAGATAGTTTTCCGTCTTCCGGAACAGAAGTACAGGGTTTCTGACCCAACAGGCATCCCACATTCCAGGACAGTATAACCAAAAGATTAGACTACAATCTCTCTACATTTCTACACAGAAGGAAAGTTTTCTAAATACAAAAGAGAATTATAGTGGTCCTGTGAAATACTGCAAATGATGCTGAGAAAGCAGAAAAGTTTTGACTATGCCACGTTTCTATTCTAACTGTTGGGGGGTTTTTTGTTGTTTTCTTAATAAAAGCTGACAGGCTCAAATGTGAGGCAAAATTTTTTTTTCCAAAGTCTAAGATAAAGGCTGCTCAAGATAAAGCTTTCAGTGTCTAACTTGCCACCTATTTCATAGTATCGTATGAGCTACTCATTGCTTTAAATGTTTGTTAGTATGATTTAAATATTTAATTCTTTTGTGAAGTACTGAAAAACAGCAATTTCCTCAGTATCTGTGGAAAGATTACACAAGGCTGGAGGTATTTTAAGATTTCATTCAGTACCAACATAAAATTTTCTGAGTATCATTACTACATGCATATGCCAGTAACACCATATTATTTGGACACTGCCCAAGCCAAGTAGTATTTAACAAACAAATCCAGACCTTGAAGTGTCTTTAAATACTATGATTATCCTTTACTACTACACTGGAATTTAAAAAGGCTGATTTACATACCTGTGATGTTTGGCCCTGAAACTTTGCAAGCTGAGTTGTTCGCACATTTAAGGACTGGCTCCTTGTAACTGTTGCTCCAGAAGATTTACCATTAACTTTTCGTTCCAGATGACAAGTAACTAACAGCTTTTCTTCTAAGAGCACAGCATCCCATGGATCTTCAGCAGCCATACTTGAAGCCTTATCTCCATCATTCTCTGCCTTATTTAAAGTCTCCACACCATCCACTTTTGGTTTACTTAGGGGATCCAAATCTAACCAGTCAAATTTACTCACGTCCCCACAATTTTCCGAAGCTGGTAGGTTAGAAACTGCAGAATTTATAGCACTCATTTCTAGGTCCGTGCCCGACTTGCCATTTTTCAAGAATTCTGAGGTGCTCGCAATTTTGTCAAATACTTGTGCCATTTCTGGTGTAAGTACTGAAGGATATATAGGTAGGCTTCCCTGTGGATGGAAAGGCGTAGTAGCTGCCAATGGGTATGAAATGTATTGGGACTGTCTTGGAAGACCAAGGTAAACAGGCTCTCTAGAGTCACAGGAGGACATAGTTGGATGGAATCCATTATGAAATACAACAGTTTGTTTTGTGTAAGAAGCTGAGGGGTAAATAGGAGGTAAAGTGCATGTCACAGGTGCTGGTATTCCAGGCATCCACTGTCTTCTCTGACCTGTAGGCCCAAGATAAAGTTGTGAAGACACAGATGGGCTCAATATAGGACTTACTGGTAACGCAGGTACTTTACTAGATTCAAAGCTGTCATCCAGCAGCAGTTTCTCTAGTTCAGCATGAGTAAGTTTTTCTACGTCTATGGTTCTTAGTTTATCTTCCATGCCCTTGGCATCAGACTCTGGAAACACCATGAGATCATGGTCCTGTTTGTTATGAGTCTGTGTTTTTTGTTTGGTGCTGCTTAAGGAATGAAAAGTTTGTCTATTACCAGTTACACCTCTTTCTTTCTGCATCTTAGCTAACGCTTCAGCTTCCATCTGCAATGCCTCCTCTTTGTCCACATCTTTTGACCTTGAGGCTGCCAAAGGTGGTGATGAGCGCTGTTTAAATCCATTGCTACTGGGTACCTGGGCCATACTGCAAGAGCAGATGTCCATTTACAGAAGAACACTTCGTTTGTACTGGTTGTCTACCCTTGGCTCCGGAATAGATTTAGCAGATCTGGAAAGGAAATGAAACATAAGAAATGCAAAAAAGTCAGATGTGGAAAACTGTAAGTCATACATCACCAACTGACAAGGTTGCACATGGCCTTCAGAAATTCAGGACAGAAAATTTTAGAGACCAAGTGTTCTCTGGAGGGAGGGATAATGTGTCAAACTTAAAAGGAGAAGCCACAATATTAATTTCACAGTCTTTAAACTATGCAAGACCCATTTATTTTTCTTACTACTACTTACCAGTAGGTAAACACTCGGTTTCTTTTTGCACCAATACACTGGAAACACAGAAAAGCTAGTCAGATACCTGTCTTCAAATTTGAGCAATTCTGCACACCTAGCCAGGTTCAATCGCAGAAGCAGAAATCTTTCTAAAGCATTGATAAAGCACATTACTGAGAGGACTTCCAGGTTACTTCAATATATCACAAAACCAGAAGACCTATCCAACTGCTGTACCATGATTATGATGGTCATAGTGATGCTGCACGACCTCCCTTCCTTTTGGAACACTTGATTGTACTTTACCCTCCCAAGAGAAATAATGCTTATGAAATTATATTTCTTGGAGAAGCAAAATAAGCAATTTAAGTACAGTTGTGCACTAAGTAATCCCTTTAACAGCCACATAAAGAAGTGTCATCCACTACTAGGTAAGGGAAGAAACTGACAGGTAGCTTTTGCTAAAGGCCACCACCAAGAAAATGACATCCTGCATTCTCTAATTCCAGTCCTGTGTTGAGTATACTATTATAAACTCCCTTTATCCACCACAATATCTATGCCTTTTATTAAAATAATCTTACAAGAGATTTCCACAAGAGCTATGTTATTTTTCAATATTATTTCTACTTTATTCTACAGTTTTCACACACAGTCAGGTTATAGCTGAGTCCGGGAGATGTCTTCCAGCAACAGCTAGTATGCATACCGAGTAGCAAGATAAAAATCATGAATAATGAGTTTCTGCTAGGAGGGTTACATAAACAGCAATCCTAATTAAAACACAGTTTCACTGAACTAGATGAGCCCTTTAGATGTAAACCATCATAGGTTTAAGTAATGCAGGAATCTACAAGAGTTCTCTGCAGCAAATAATGCAGATAACTCAAGAGTCTATCTTTTTTGCTATTCACACCCATTAGCAGGGGTTTATTTTCTGGTTCCATCCCCCATCCACCCACTTGAATCAGATGAGAGATATATGCTTTAAATGAACCAACTGTACTTCTGTGGACTCACCAGAGACAGCAAGATTTCTAACAGATTTCTAACACATTCTTTAAATTCCTTAAGACTCTGGCCAAGCTTTTGTTTTATCTACTTCACTTCAGTGGCTTATACTGTGAAGGACAGACTATAAAAGGTTCTACACATTTCAGCTAAGTCTGAAAATATAAATTCAGGTGAAGCCCTTCATAAAGCAAGATTAAACCAGAACTGATGCTAAAGGTACCAGATAAAATTTAAATGAAAGAGGGTGTCTTCAGAAAGACTGAAAGAGTGACAGACTAACCAAGTTATAAAACCCTGAAAACCGTTCAACTAAAGTCCTGGGGAATAAAGCCTTAAGGAGGAGCTTAAGGACGCATTACTAGTATGTATCCATTCTGTGAGATAATTATATTCAGCATGGATGAAGTCTACAGAAAAGAGGAGACACCAGACCCTTTTCAATACAACCTACTAAGCTGCAGGGTTTGACATTCACTAAAGCCACAACTATTTCCATTAGGAAGAAGTCCTGTCCTACCTACTGCTTACTTGCACAGCCGACTGTTGAATCTGATCAGAGAACTTATTAAAAAAAATAAAAAACAAAATAAAAAAAAAAAACAAAAACAAACCAGAAAAAAAAAGCTAAAACCCAAACCCAAAACTTTTTTGCTGAGTTCTTTTATAGACAGTGCATTACCCTCATCCCATTTACAGCGCAGCTGTGGCCCTCAGTGGCATTCAGTTACTTGCCATCCTCCTGTTAGCAGGACATTCTCAATCTTCTCCTAAAGATGTACTGAAGATTTTGTAGATGGTCTAAGCTTACCAGCCACAGATAACATCCTCATGAGAAGCCCTATATACTTTACACCAACTGCTCAGACTGCCTAGATATCCAAGAAGGCTTTAATCTCCTTATTAACTTACAGCTAGTTAAAATTACTATGTCATATTTTCAGATGGAAGAACACCCTGACTTAGGAAGTCCTCTCAATAATTGCTCTTTAGCTTTTCTAAGCAACAGCAAAAGCATAGAGTAAGTGCAGTTTTCACAGTCCTGCTGTTGCCTAACGATTCTAAATAGCAGGATTTTTTCCTGCATTTTATTCAAAAAACTTAAATAGGATCATATTTTCTGAGACTACTCAGAACTGTTTGAGCTACAACTCTAAAAATTATAAATGCATTCTGGTACTGCTTGATAATTACAGCAGCAAGTGATTCTTTTTGAAGAAAAAAATTCAAGATTATATGGCCTTCAAACAGCAGCTCTGGCTTCTTAAAAAAACAGGAAGCCTTATTTTTCTGCTGAAATTGACAGCTTTGATCTCCATACTTGACAAGTAGTCTCCTACTCACAGTAAGTCACTGTTCCAGTCATAACTGCAGATAAATGTACATTCCTTAACACTAAAACTTCTACAAGCTCAGGAGTGCTACATCCCAACCAGAAGGAAGTGCAGCAGGAGGGCCAGGAGACCTCCTTGGATGGATAAGCAGCTGCTGAGGAAAATTCAAATGAAAAAAAGAGTTTTACAGAAAGTGGAAGCAAGGAAAGGCGGCCTGGGAAGAGTACAGGGATGTTGTCCGGGAAGCTAGGGACCAGGTTAGGAAAGAAGGCCCAGTTAGAATTAAACTTGGCTAGGGATATTAAGGATAACAGGAAGGGATTCTACAGGTACATAGCAAATAAAAAACAGATTAGGGAGAACACAGGCCCCCTCAGGAAGCTCTCGGGTGAACTAGCTACACAGGATTTGGAGAAGGCTGAACTTCTGAATGACTTCTCTGCCTCTGTCTTCTCTAGCAAAGGCTCTGACCGCACCACCCAAGTCTTGGAAGGCAGATGCAGGGACTGTGAGAATGAAGACCTTGGGCTCACTGCAGGAGAGGAACTGGTTTGAGACCATCTTAAAAATCTGAACGTGCACAAGTCCATGGGTCCTGATGAAATCCATCCACAGGTCCTGAAGGAGCTGGCAAATGAAGTTGCTAAGACACTGTCCATCACATTTAAAAATCATGGCAGTCAGGTGAAGTTCCCGACAACTGGAAAAAGGGAAATATAACCCCCATTTTCAAGAAGGGGAAAATGGATGACCCGGGGAATTACAGACCAGTCAGTCTCACCTCTGTGCCTGGCAAAATCTTGGAGCAGATTCTCCTGGAAGGCATGCTAAGGCACATGAAAAACAACAAGGTGCTTGGTAACAGCCAGCATGGCTTCACTAAGGGGAAATCCCGCCTGACCAATTTGGTGGCCTTTTTTGATGGGGCTACAGAACTGATGGACAGCGATAGAGCAGTTGATGTCATCTACCTGGACTTGGTCAAAGCGTTCGACACTGTCCCACACGACATTCTTGTCTCTAAATAGGAGAGACATCCATTTGATGAATGGACCACTCGGTGGATAAAGAACTGGCTGGATGGCCGCACACAAAGAGTTGTGGTCAATGGCTCAATGTCTGGCTGCAGACCTGTAACGAGTGGTGTCCCTCAGGGATTGGTGTTGGGACCGGTCTTGTTTAACATCTTCGTCGCTGACATGGACAGTGGGATTGAGTGCGCCCTCAGCAAGTTTGCCAATGACACCAAGCTGTGTGGTTCAGTTGATACGCTGGAGGGAAGGAATGCCACCCAGAGGGACCTTGACACGCTTGTGAGGTGGGTTGATGCCAACCTCATGAAGTTTAACCATGCCAAGTGCAAGGTCCTACAGCTGGGTTGGGGCAATCCCAGGCACAGCTACAGGCCGGGCAGAGAAGAGATTCAGAGCAGCCCTGCAGAGAAGGACTTGGGGGTGCTGGTCGATAAGAAAATGAACATGAGCTGTCAGTGTGAGCTTGCAGCCCAGAAAGCCAACCGTATCCTGGGCTGCATCAAAAGGAGTGTGACCAGCAGGTCGAAGGGGGTGATCCTGCCCCTTTATTCTGCTCTTGGGAGACCTCACTTGGAGTATTGTGTGCAGTTCTGGTGTCCTCAACATAAAAAGGACATGGATCTGTTGGAACAAGTCCAGAGGAGGGCCACGAGAATGATCAGGGGACTGGAGCACCTCCCACATGAACATAGGCTGACAAAGTTGGGACTGTTCAGCCTGGAGAAGAGAACGCTGCGTGGAGACCTCATAGCAGCCTTCCAGTCTCTGAAGGGGGCCTATAGGGATGCTGGGGATGGACTCTTCATTAGGGACTGTACCGGAAGGACAAGAGGTAATGGGTTAAAACTTAAACAGGGGAAGTTTAGATTGGATATAAGGAGGAAATTCTTTCCTGTAAGGGTGGTGAGGCACTGGAATAGGTTGCCCAAGGAGGTTGTGAATGCTCCATCCCTGGCAGTGTTCAAGGCCAGGTTGGACGAGGCCTTGGGTGATCTGGTTTAGAGTGAGGTGTCCCTACCCATTGCAGGGGGGTTGGAACTTGGTGATCTTAAGGTCCTTTCCAATCCTAACTATTCTATGATTCTATGATCTATCAGCAGGGAACTCCTCTCCAACACTTGGAAGAAAATGTTTCAATGCAAATCCCAGAAACAAGAAAACCAGATACCTGAACCATTTCTGAGCATACCTTAGGAATTCACCAGAAGTTTCTCACAACTGGAGTTCATCAGAAGACCTAGAAACAATCCTCAGAGAGTCAGGATTGTTCTTATCTCAACTGCTGCATACTATTTTAAGTAACAGTAATAATCAGTTTTCAGCTGTCAATCAGTTCACCTTCAAGAGCACAACTCAGGACTCTCCAAACACTTAAAGAATGCATCAAACACACTTCTTCC